TAGGTCGACCCAGTTTTTCCTAACTGACAGACGACGAAGCATCGAAAATTCATAAACATGAATGAGAGTATGCCTGCATCGAAAGCTTTTTAAATATTATATTACGACTAAATTAATAGACAGCAAATGAAACAAACTGTGAGCAGAATTAATTGTAAATTTTAATGGAATTTTAATTTATCTGTCAAAGTAGGCAAAGGCCTTCAAAGTGTTGTGTCTACGTCCTCTTCTTTTTTTTAAGTAAGGCAATTGGCTTCTTGCGATGCCATTGTTGAAAGTCTTCGAATGGAGGCCACGGATGGGTACAAGGAGCGTGGGGCATCCTCCAACCAGGCGGACTAACGACTTAGTGCGCACGGCGGGAAGTCGTTGGATGCGGAAGGCGGAGGACCGCATTATGTGGAAGGCATTGGGGAAGGCCTATATCCAGCAGTGGGCAGATAAAGGCTGATGATGATGATGATGTTGCCATTGTTGCCAGTGTCGAGTTTAAAAAAATCTTCAATTATTAAATACCTATCTATGTTCCCATTTGAAAAATGATTTGGTGCGAAATAAGAAGAAATTGATATTTTGAGACTGTAATTAAATGGGATTCAATTTAATGAAACGAGATAAGATGCGATGAAAGCTTGAATGGTGGCTAATAGGAAAATAACATAGTGTAAAAAAAATGGTACACGTGAAAGAAATCAGCTTCTTTAGCCATTCTTCATTTTTCATCCTTAAATCAAATTTCTCTTGTAATAGGGAATGCTTTGTATAAAAGAAACGACCTCTTTACCATTTATATATTTTTTAAATAGTCTATAGAAAAATAAATATTTTTTTTTAAAACCTTCACCAAAAGTAAAATATAAGATGGTTAATATGTTACTGCCATCTACAGGAGCAATGAGAAATTAATAACAAACCATCTAGTGGCCTACACCCGCAAACAGAATGTGTGAGAAACGACATAGCTCGCTTTCTCGCTATTACGAAAATAGACGCTTCGTCTATTTTCTCACTCGCACTCTTCCTAAATTGTATCCTTTCTCTCTAGCCGTAACGAATCTATCGCGAGCTAAATTTTACTCTCAATGCGCCTAAAGAAGTTACACTTCAAATTTTTCAATTTTTGTTTCCACCAATTAGTAAGCTCTAAATAGCACTCATGGATTATCATTGCCACTTTGCTTATTTCTAGGGACAAACAGCCTTGAGTGTAAAATCATGAGCTTTGGCCGAAGTAGAATTTTCTGTTTTGAAGAAATTGCTAATAGGAAAACGCTACTGCCTATTATTTTCCAATGAATCGCTTAGCGGCTTTTCGAGCCTTCCAGGAAGAGATTGGCTGACCCCACACAGCCATGAGATGAGAGATAGATGAAATGCTCGTCAGCTACAATCGAACATGTAAAATAATTAAAATTACAAGCAAAAATTCACGGAGAACATAATTTGAGATAAAAGAAAAACAAATTAATTTTCATAAATCTTGGAAGAATGTATCCTCGAAACAGATATCTTGCAAAATTTCATTAGTGACTCGCCCTTAAAAGCAATCAAATATTCATGAGAGTTTTTTTTTACAAAGCGGTTATCCTCGGAGGGGAGTAGACATTCATAATTTTTAATATGATTTGAAATAAAAACGTAATATTGGAGTCTCTCAATATGATTAATGACTTTTCATATCCAATCTCTGGTTGGCATATATTACACGGTATTTCCTGTTTATATCTATTACATCATTGTTAAATATATTATTATACTTATGATTGTATATATGAATATGTATGTATATTATATATACCCCATTAATTGACTATCAAGAAGTACTTCACACCATGAAGTGATCGATAGTTTGATAATATAGTGACTTTCCAAGAAATATTCTATTGTTTAAATGACAATAAATAATTAATTATTCTCTTATGATTCACCTGTAAAGACGCTAACAGCGCTTTGTTATAGAAATGCTATGCATTGTGACGCCTTGTGACAATAACTATTCTATTGCTTAAAAGCACGTAATGATTTTTTAATTCAGAAACGAAGTTTCTTTTTAATACAGTGAACGAACTCACGACCCACCTGATGTTAAGTAGTTACCGGAGCCCATAGATAACTGCCGCCACCATGGGACCATTAAGACATGAATTCCAAGGCTCAGTTCTATAGTGAAATTACTGACCCGCCCTTCAACCCGGAACGTATTAAAGTTTCGCGGTGAGAGTGGGTCTCCCGGAAGTCATATTGCTCCGCCGACATATTAACCAGCTGCTGAACTCCTCACGGCACAGCATCAGTCTGCCAGTCATTCGTAGCGACGGAAGCCGTACTAACTCAAGTTGACCAAAATTGAAAATAATCAAAACGATCCCCTTGGTCACGAAGGAAACAGGGACTACGCCCGGGCGAGGGCCGTGTCTATTGCAATTTCGTTGCCGTCCGGTGCATTTTGGTCACGCGGAGCTGAGAGAATGGGAAGGCGCCTTGCCTATTTCATCGGCGAATCATTGATGCGTTCCGCTTTGAAGGGTGGGACAACTGTTTTACAATATAATTGACATTAACGCTTCATGTCTCAAGCTATGTGGCGGCATTTACGTCGTGTTTCTGTGGGCTCTTGTACAACACCAAACAGGTCGTGTGCTCGTGTCGTATTTATTTGACCTCATAAAACTTTCTTCGTGTGTGGCAATTCTGAACAAAAGTATCGGGATACGTATTAATTAAACTGATATCCATGTCGTTAAATCTTCTCCTTGCTCTTACCCCACTATGTGGCGTCGGCGCAGCATGTCGTCTTTTTCCATTCAGGCCTATCACACGCCATCCCTGCACTCACACTCTTTTCTCGCATATCCTCTTACACAAAGTCCATCCAAGTTTTGTTTAATGGTTAAAACAGTAAAGGTTAAAACAGTACAGTAATAGTACAGGATCCCTGGTACACTTATCATCATTTATTACTAACAAGCTGAGTTTTCGTGAGTAGCTTCCTTTTGACTAGACGCCCAACTTTTTTCCTTACAGTAACGTTGGTAAATGGTAGCTTACTAGATGGTAGGTAGCAAGGATAAAATATGTTGATTTCACGAATTTAAAAAATTTATTGCTAACCGATTTTTTCTTTGTTAATTATCTAAATAACGTGAAAAAATATTTGTCCTACACAATATAAGGTTTTGTTGGGGAGTCCCCCCTCTCCAACATGTATCACAAATGATGAAAATGAATAAATAATGAAAAGTGTACCAGGGACCCTGTACTACTAGGAATTACTATTTTGTAAATAATGTTATTTTGAAAATCAATTATCTTTTTATTTACAAACATCCAATTATTATTATAACAAAATTTATCAGTTTTTGGGTAAAATAGCTATAGACTGAAAGACGAAGGGACAAACGTGATGAAATTAATTCCGGTCCTGTAGTTTCGATACAAGCTCGTGATTTAAATGAATCACGTGGCAAGTTTTAATGAAGAGAGTTAGCGCTTGTTTTATTTGTTAGTGTAAACAATAACAAAATATTTTCTGTTGAGTTAGAAACTTCCAGAACGTTGAGTTTCGATAAATAATTCAAATTTATTTCGATGGAATAACAGAAAATTTATAACGGATAAAAATGTTTTGTTATTAAATATTCTGTTACAATTTTTTTCGTGTCGTGCTATGTGATCGAACAGTTAAATAAGCATTAAAATATCCGCTAATCTATGCAACCGAGATTTAGACCTTTTTTTATTTATTTTTATTTATTTATTTATTATTTGTGGTCATAGGTTAACAAAGATTAATAAGTTAATATTAATAAATGTATTACTATGTCCTGCTAGTAAAGCGTACAAATATTAGGTGTAAGTATAATCTACATAAAAATAAAAAAACTTAAATTATAATTATTGAACTCTATTCTACTTTCTAAATATTCTGACATACTATAGTAAGCCTTTTCTAAAAAAAATACTTGCAATTTTTGCTTAAAATCTTGTAAATCTATTGTCTTCAAAATTTTCATAGGTAGTTTATTAAATATTCTTGATGACATACTAAAAAAACTCTTGTCATAAAGGGCAGTTCTAGTTTCTAGTCCTTTGCCTCAAGGACTTGCAAGAACGCAAGCCGTTTGATATATACAGAAAACTGAAGTTTCTAATCTACCCATTGAAACAGAACACATTGATATAATTTATTAATCTAAAAATTCTTAAAGTCCTCATCTCACGACACAACTCTCATATCAGCTTCATCTAGGTTTGATAGACAGGCCGCTATTTGAAAATTCAAAATACATTTTTCATATTACAATTTTTCCTTATTTATCCTTTGGCTAGGCAAGGAACGAACTTTCGCTTTTTATCCAGGATTTCATGGCCGAGCCCAAAATCTTCACAAAACAGCACAGTTTTTTTTTTTTCAATGCTTAAATGGGTGGACGAGCTCACAGCCCACCTGCTGTTACATAGTTACTGGAGCCCATAGACATCTACAACGTAAATGTGCCACCCACCTTGAGATATAAGTTCTAAGGTATCAGTATAGTTACAACGGCTGCCCCACACTTCAAACCGAAACGCATTACTCTTTCACGGCAGAAATAGACAGGGCGGTGGTACCTACCCGTGCGGACTCACAAGAGGTCCTACCCCCAGTAATTACGCAAATTATAATTTTGCGGGTTTTGATTTTTATTACACGATGTTAGTCCTTCACCGTGGAAGTCAATCGTGAACATTTGTTAAGTACGTATTTCATTAGAAAAATTAGTACCCGCCTGCGGGATTCGAACACCGTTGCATTGCTCGACGAATGCACCGGACATCATATCCTTCAACCCACGACGACTAATTCGATTTAACTATGTATTTCGATTTAATAAGGTCGAAATGTAAAATATGTGAAGTGACTGCTATGGTGCATTTGCAATATTTATTGGGTCACAATCTGCTACCTACCTTAAAACAAAAAAAAAATCCGAGTGATCATAAACTACTTTTTTTTTCAGTTATCAGGCACAAGCGACGGTGGTGGCGCTTTGGATGCAGTGGTGCGCCGTTACCGGCTCGAAAACGGGAACTCTCTCGGCGAAAAGGATGAAGTAGGCATCTAATCAACATATTTATGTAATATTTTTCTGTTCACAAACCTGGAGATGCGTGTCCGAAGCTCGTAATTAATAATCAAAGCGATCCAATGTTTTTTTATTGCTTAGATGGGTGGACGAGCTCACAGCCCACCTACTGTTAAGTGGTTACTGGAACCCATAGACATCTACAACTTAAATGCGCCACCCATCTTGAGATATAAGTTCTAAAGTCTCAAGTATAGTTACAACGGCTGCCCCACCCTTCAAACCGAAACGCATTACTGTTTCACGGCAGAAATAGGCAGGGCGGTGGTACCTACCCGCGCGGACACTCAAGAGGTCCTACCATCAAATAATAAAACACTTAAAATGTTTGCTGTTTCAGAAAACTTTTTCAGTGGTTCATTACTAATCGTGTATTGCACATCTTTAATAAGAAATTTAACACTATTCAAAATATGTATCGTTTAAAAGTGAATTAGTAAAAAACGGTTAAATAAAAATAAAGGTTAATTAAAACTAAAAAATGATAAAGTAAGCAATATTATTTAATATCTCTGAATTCGTTGTATGTTCATATATTTCATATAATACTAGCTACGAGCTTAATATCAGTCTTGATGATCAAAGGTAACAATTAACATGTTGAGTACCAAATTAAAGTTCCTAAATAGGTGCCATTTCTGGGAGCGGCCATGTGCTTGTCAATGTATTTTTCATAAACACCATTAGTTTTTACAGAAAAGGTTTTCATACCAATTTTATAACAGAACTGAACAGTACTACTAAACTGTTAAAGTAATTGATTTAGTGCTGATGTTTAAATGTATTTTTATTACAACAATTTGATTATCCGAGCTGAATTAGTTGGGCCAAAGATTCATGGTTCATAGTACGTTCATGGTTCAAATAAAATGTGTAGATCGATAAAAAACAAAATTTATTCCTATTCGATGCGGGCATCAGTCGATGTTACATTTCGTTTGTCTATGTGTAAATTGACATTATCATCACACTTCAAATAAATATTTTTGCTGTCTATACAATCGTTAATGTAGTAACGTCATAAAACATGCAGCTCTTTTTGTAATTTGACAATTAGCCCACGACCGGGCTTAAAAAGTTACACTTAGTTATTTCTGAAAGTATTTTTGTAACCTATTTGAAATAGATAATTATTTTGATTAACAAATGTTTTATATAAGATTAAAAGACATTATTACATCTCGGTTATAAATAACAAAGACTTTGTCTTTCATTCTTCGCTAAAATGAATTCACTTTAGTAGCAATAGCATCATACATGGCAAGATGGTCCGTCCCCACCTTAACTATCCACTAATTGCCTTCATAAATCAACTCTTGTCAGTAAATGTAATTTACTCAACTATACTACAACACTAGTAGGACGTGCCGTGAAGGATTAACGGCTTTAGAAAAACTGAAGCCGAACAGATGCCGAATCTAATTCATCAGCTACAAGAAATATTGGATGTTTCGAGAAAAGAAAAATGTTTCATGCGATTATGTCTGAGTTTCCTTTCGACAGTTTTCCGAAAGAAATTAAAAAGAAAAGGTACCTAAACATTGAAAAGGTCACAGCGAACAATTTTAAATTATAGAGGGGAGTTCGCCAGGGTTGCTTTATCTATCCCATCTTGTTGAATATCTACAGAAAACATGTCATGCAGAAAACTCTTAATGATCGGGAAATGTTAGGGCTGGTGGGTACAAAGAACCGAGCCTTCGTTACCTACGCAAAGACACCACACTGCTTGCTTCATCGTAGGCAGAGATGAAGGGACTGTTGAAGAAGTTTCTAGAAATCATCTGCCAACTAAAGGGTCTTATTATCAACTGCAGTAAGACTCAAATAATAACAGTTGATCATTTTTCCACAGCTGTAATCCCTAAATTCGATCTTGGAATCGTAATAACTCAGCTAAGAAGGATATAGAGTAATCCAAGCATCACGATACACACCCGCAACTATAACAGTATAACGATGCATAATTACATTACATTGCATTACATAATATGCATTTGCATGTTTGCGGAGGCGCGTACGGACGATTTCCATGCCATAAAAAGAAAGCGATGCGCATCCTTGCTCTGCAGGGTAGGGGCTAGCTCCAACAGCGTCCTGACCATAATATTTTCGAGATTAGATGGACCTTTTCTCAATCATTGTAGACAGGTCCACAAAAATTGCTCGTATTGGTCAACTATTGCAATTGTATAGTTATGTTGTTCTTTTGTTTTGTTACTATGTCCTTATTGACATATTTATAAGAAATCAATGTTACTAACATTAATATGGATTAATATTATCTGACATAAATTCATTTAATAATAATAAGAGCACGTTTACAACAACGTTTACAACAAGCCCTAAAAACTTCCCAATCTAAAGTAGTTAAACTTTTACACTTCACACTTTACGTCTGATAGTAACCAGCAACGCCATTATTTAGTTCATTACTTTCGACGTTGTAACAAAATATGATTAGGTTAATCTTTTTAGGAAATCAATACTTTAAATTATCATTATTATTATTTATTTATTTTAATTATATAATAATAATAAATAATCAGCGGCAATCTATTTTTATACAGTATTTTTAAAAGAATGTACTTTTAAAATCTTTTAAAAAAAATATTGTGTAATTAATAAGATTTTAAATAAATATAAATAATAATAATAAATAATACTAATTATTATTTAATTATCATTATTACTACACTAATTATATTCGTGGTAAACATGAAATATTTCGAACGTTTCTTTTCTTTGCAGTTGTTCGGACCGCCCAGCGCGCCCGTCCTTGAGAACCCTGAGTTCCAAACAAGATGGTACTTCAAATACTTTCTTGGTAAAAGTGAGTATTATCTAGTGTCCTTTATCTCACAAACTGTGATCGCGCCCGCGTACCAAACGTAACCTATTTATTACAAAAGAGTTTGATGGTGTTGCTAAGAATTGAAAAAAAAACTAACATATTATTTTTTGCAAGCGAAATCTTGTAAACGTCTATATGTTCATGTTTCGAATATTGAATTTTAGTGTCCAGAAATTTTCATTAGCATTTTTTTTATTATACGTTCTAAAGCCTTGTTCTAAATATCTATTGACTATTCTGTAAGAATAAGAAGAAAACCATAAAATAGTTCCAATTTCCTTCCTTTCCCTTTACCAAATGAAAATTTTATTTGTAACGCCGAAAGCGTGAAGCAAGAATGTGTTTATTCACTGAGGTGTGTAGACGGAGCTTATACCGATAACTGGTTTTATTAATAGGAAATCGTTTGTCATGTCGTTTCTGCGAACGTAAGAATTCCTGAAAGTAACAATCTGCTAGTCTTTGAACTAGTATGGTTTGTTGAAGACGATGACCCGTTTTCATTCTTTAATGTACCTTTCTCAATCATCAATAACAATAGACCTGAATGTCAATATCGGACCGCTTAAGTTTATAGAGTTTAAACTATTTCACTCAACGATATTTTCGAAGCGACAAGTGAAAAAAAAACTTATTAATCTCGCAAAGTCTGACCTGACCGATCGTGAACAATAAATAACAAGTTCCGAGAACTGTCAAAACTGAACAAATAAGTTTTCTTTCTATTTAGGTAGAAATGGAATGAATACGTCTATAACGACGATAAGAACGAGTAGATTTGTTCCCAAAGATGGGGTATATTGGACTGTTATATGAATACTGAATCGTCCACGATAAAGCGGTAGTCATGTTAAAACCTACAATTTTGCAAAGATAAATACTAAAGATCACTTTACATTTATTAATGATTCCGCGTATGTCTCTTCGTATAGCTTAAACTTGACAATTTTTCACTTTGTCACAGTATTACTAATATACACGCGAGCAAAAGTTTGGAATCACTTACTTGAAATTGGTTCCGCGCGATCTTGGTTACTAAATTAATTTTTAATTATCATAAAAATTACATAATTTAAAGGTTCAGCTGTAAACTTTAAATTGATACCAAATCCATTCAAATCGAGCCAGTAGTTAAGGATCTATCCCGGATTAAGTGAAGGAGGTAGGAAAACAAGGAAATATGGAAAAATAAGGAATGAACAAAACAACAAAAATTAATAAGTAAAATAAATTATTTAGCCTTAAAATTAAGTCAGTACTTTGTGTTTCCTTCCCTCGCCCTAATAACTGCTCGAAGACGATTCTTCATAGACATGATCAGCTTCTGAATTGATTCTTGTGGGATACCTTCCCACTCGTAAATCAACGCCGATTTCAGCTCATTCAGACATGAAGGAGCAGGAGTTTTGGAACGAACCTTCCTCTTCGGTTCATTACACACGTGCTCAATGGGATTCAAGTCAGAGCTGAGCGCTGGCCAGTCCAATGTGACGATACCGACTTCTTAGAGGTATACAGTTGTTACACGGGCAGTGTAACAACGAGCGTTATCGTGCATAAGGAGGAAGTGATCACCGATATATCCAGCATAGGTAAGGACATGTTCCAGCAGAATATTGGAAATGTACCAGTCCGAAGTTAGACCGCCTCCTCGTCCCCCGCCAGGCACGAAAACAAACTCCGTTTTTCCATCGGAGGAAATGCCGGCCCACATCATACAATGGCGCCCCCATAAGCCACTGTTTCAGCGAAACAGCACTGCGCAAATCGCTCCCCAGGCCACCTGTAGACCCGACCTCTTCGTTCGCTACCGTGCAAACACATCCTGCTCTCGCCGGAGAACAGGACTTGCCTCTATTGCTCAACCTCCCAATCAAGATGGGTGCGAGCAAATTGAAGGAGTGCTTATCGGTGAGCTATCGTGAGTTTCGAGCCTGTGGGAGGCCTTTTTGGAGTCAGATTCGCTAGCTTGAGTCGTCGACAAAGTCTCCACTCGCTGGCTGCTACCCCACGAATATCTCGGAGCTCCTGTTGGACGTCGACACCATGTAAATGCCGATTTCGGAGAGAGGTTGACACGATAAAACGGTCATCCCTCTCCGATGTGCACCGGCGCCGTCCAGATCTTGGTCTCGGGATAAAACCACCAGTCTCCTGAAAGCGCTTGTAAGCTTTCGAAACACAGGACTGGCTTATGTGGAGCCGACGAGCAACAACTCGCTGGCTGAGTCCTTCTTGCAATAGGTCTACGATTTGTGCTGCTTCTGTAGGTGTTGTCTCCATTTTCGTACAAGGTAAAGGATCAAAATTAGCGGAGATGTGTACCGGTCAACGTGTGAAAGTCAACTGATAAAGAAAATCCGATAACAGGTGCTTTTATAGGGGTCAATAAGTCGCAACTCGCGACGTATCAAGCAATTGAAACACGTCTTTTTCGTTATTCCTTCACTTAATCCGGGATAGCTTCTTAAATACTGGCTTGATTTTAATGAATTTAGTATCAGTTTAAAGTTAAGAATTGAACCTTTAAAACGATGTCATTTTTAAGAATATAAAAAAAAAATTTAGTACACGAGATCGCGCGGAACTAATTTCAAGTAAGTGATTCCAAACTTTTGCTCGCGAGTGTTTATTATAATAAGCATTTTGTTAAAAGCATATCAGTATTGCTACAGACAATCGTTTTTGACTTTGCCAACAGTGCATCAGAATTACATCGGCGTCGATGGAGCGAGGGAGCCATATCTTCTCAGCGTTGTTCAGGAAGGGGGAGCAGGACTACTACGTGCCATACTTTTTAACAAAATGGTGAACATGTTTCTAAAATTTTTTTTCATTTTATGAACATATTAATATGATATTTTAAGCTAGAATGAGAAATTGCACAATATCTAATTCCACACTTTCATGAGTTCCTTCCTCCAAATTTTTCTCATGTTGATTGTTTTTACGACCTGTTGTTTTTTTTTTTGAATACCGACTATCAATCGCGTAAACTATAAAACGTTGATCACGAACAAGCTAGAAATTAATAATACCAATTTATAAGGTAAACTCAAGACTTTAATGAATGGTAATCTTACGAGATCTCCTCTCCGTGACGAAACATTGATCCCCAGGCTCAGTAGTCAAATCGATTCTTTAAACTTATACTGACAGCAATTTATAACAAAAGCCTGAAGTCGTAGCCAATGGGTATTAAATGATTAAAATAATTCAACGGTGTAGTCTAACGTTTATAAGATCAATAACAAAAAGTTAGTTATTCGTCCAAATTTAATTCAAAGTATGCTCCATCAGAAACGTTACGCTCATGCTAACAAATAATCCAGTCATCAAAACATTTTTTAACGCTTTTTACGGAGTTGACTTCTCACCGCAAATCGCCCTTATGTCTTCTACGAATGAAAACGGGTACCACTAAGTGGTAATGTGACTGTAGGAAAAATAAAGAAGTCCGGTTGAAGCCATATTTGGAAATAAGGTTTGTTACTCGATAGAATTTTGGTGATGTTTTGGAGTAAAATCAGGTCTTTCTGTACTAGCCGAGCGGCAACATATTTTATACCCAAGTGATTATTTCAAATGTTACGATCGACCTGTGAGACATATAGTTTGGCGGCTATCTTTCTCAAACTTGAAGGACCGTCAGTCATTATTTCCTTTACTTTTGCAATGATAACTTCAGTTGCAGACGTTCACAGCATACCAGAGCGAGGCAAAACTTTCAATACATATCGACCGATTTTGAACGCATTGTAACCACTCATAAACACGTAAATTCGATTCACCGTAAGCGTTCTGTAACATTTTCAATGATTGACCACAAAATTCCATTGGCGATGCAACATTAAACTTTTTGTTCGTTTTTTTTCTGTTCGGTATGAAATTCGCAATGCACACTAGACATGATATAACTAAAAAAACGCATTGTTAATGTAAATAGAAACTCAAACTCCGCGCTAAAATGAAAAACAGTTGTGATAACCAAACAACAAAAAAAAAATGATTTTGGTACCATAAACAAATCACCAATTCCCGATACTTTTTTGACTGAATGTATTTTGTTTTATCTGATGAAAGACGAGCAAGCTCAGGTAAGGGGTCACCGTCGCTTAATAAAGCCTGTGTCATTGGTGACACAGGCTCAGTGAGACAACGGCCTACCATCTTTCTTAAAAGTATTGTAAACACGTCTAAGGATGGATATGTACTACTTTTATGAAGTCGTCGTGAAAGGATAAGACGTCCGGTGCATAATTGTTGAGCGATGCAGCGGTGTTCGAACCTCAGGCGGGTACCAATTTTTCTAATGAAATACGTACTCAACAAATGTTCACGATTGACTTTCACGGTGAAGGAATAACATCGTGTAATAAAAATCAAACCCGCAAAATTATAATTTGCGTAATTACTGGTGGTAACACCTCTTGTGAGTCCGCGCGGGTAGGTACCACCGCCCTGCCTATTTCTGCCGTGAAGCAGAAATGCTTTCGGTTTGAAGGGTGGAGCAGCCGTTGTAACTATACTTGAGACTTTAGAACTTATATCTCAAGGTGGGTGGCGCATTTACGTTGTAGATGTCTATGGACTCCAAAAAAAACTTGAACTTGTTTTAGAATACAATACAATGCTTGATAGCAAAAAAAAACCTTGTAAAACTAAAAGAATATGATATGTACGTGAACGACTGGAATTAAGATATCGAATTTTTCGTCGCGACATTTAATAAGATGTCAAATAAATACGGTTTCCCCGATAATGTTGATATTCGATTAAAACGTCGCAAATATAAATCTCCGAATATCTAAATATTTCATTCTTAGACATTTTTTATCGGTTCTAGGAATCCTGAGTTATTTCGAATCGTATTTCATTACTAACGTATCGTCTGGCTTGCGCCGTTTTTACGATATTCTTTATCGCTTCGTAATGTTTTCAGGGCGCACACAAAATATATTTGCCACCGAGTGCCTGGAGTGGAAGCGGTGGTCAAGCAACAAGGCCGACGGTAAAACAAATACTAGCCCAGTTTCCAGCTATGGAGAAAGTAGACAAAGTACCGAGAGAGGTAATCTTTTTAAGCCGCAAATTACACTTTTTTTTTATTGCCTTTGTAGGCAGACGGTCATACGGCCCACCTGATGGTGAGTGGTTACCGTCGCCCATGGACTTCAGCAATGCCAGGGGCAGAGCCAAGCCGCTGCCTACATCTTTTTTTTTTTTTTATAAGTTTTAAGATCTCAATATAGTTACAACGGCTGCCCCACCCTTCAAACCGAAACGCATTACTGCTTCACGGCAGAAATAGGCAGGGCGGTGGTACCTACCCACGCGGACTTACAAGAGGTCCTACCACCAGTAATTACGCAAATTATAATTTTGCGGGTTTCATTTTTATTATACGATGTTGTTCCTTCATCGTGGAAGTCAATCGTGAACATTTGTTGAGTGCGTAATTCATTACAAAAATGGGTAACCGCCTGGGATTCGAACACCGGTGCATCGCTCAACACGAATGCACCGGAAGTCTTATCCCTTAGGCCACGACGTCTTCTAAAATCATCATCATTTGCAATCATTTGTCGTTCAATATTTACGCACATTGATACGAATTTTCTATCAGATCACATGCGCCGAAATTCAGAAAGACGTTCTGCTGCTCGAAGAGCAAGAAGGCTCTGTGAACTTTAAAATAGGCGTGATGCTAATGAATCCAGGTCAGAAAACTGACGACGAGATGCTTTCGAACGGTTAGTCGAATTTGACTTCTTTTTTTATTGCCCTTGCAGGCAGACGAGCATACGGCCCACCTGATGGTGAGTAGTTACCGTTGCCCATGGACTTCAGCAATGCCAGGGACAGAGCCAAGCCGGTGCCTACCCCAAATGTAATATGACATTCAGCCAAATGTAAACTAAAAACAAAAAGAATAATTTTATGAAGGGTCATTTAAATTTCTCGGAATCTTTCAGAGAAGGGCGACGAGAAATGGGAACGATTTATTTCACTTTTGGGTGATAAAATTCGATTACGAGGATGGAACCGTTTCCGAGGCGGCCTCGACGTTAAAGGTAACATCCCTCAGTAAGGTATTTATCGGGTCAGTAAAGTATTTAAATTTCAACATTTTTTTTTATCGTAAACAGAAAATGTTTTTGTATTTCATTACCTGTACGTTCGCTATCAAGAATATCTCATGTCAAAGCTAAATTGCGTTTTAATGACTCAGGTGATATGACTGGCAGCCATTCCATTTACACGATGCATCAAGGACACGAAATTATGTTTCACGTCTCAACGATGTTACCGTTTTCAAAGGATAACAAACAGCAGGTGAGATCAATACTCGACGAGAAAATGAGTACTTTAAACTCCATCGCAATTTTTCGTTTAGCAGATTTTGAAGAAACTTAATCCATTTAACTTCGAATTCAGGATAAAAAAAGATTACCTACGTGGAAAAAAGTTTGGACGAAAAAAAAAACTAACAATATAATATCGATTCTTGGATAAAATGTTAATCTACATATTACTTGTAAGCGATTTTGCGCTACTCTGAAAGCTCATTCCAATATTTGTCGAAGGTTCAAGTAGAATTATGTTGATCCAAGGTTTTTTTTTGCAGTTGGAAAGAAAACGGCATATTGGTAATGATATCGTGAATATAATTTTCTCGGATGACTCCGTCCACAATACCTTCAACCCGCAGTGCGTTAAAAGCCATTTCACGCGTATCCTTTAAAATAGTCTCTAAAAAGAGCATTAATTAACGTGATTTAGATTAAGATAATTTAGATAGTGTAAGATTAACGTGACAGTTTGTATGTAAAATAAAATATGTATTGACTCACGGCTTTTATACAAATAGAGATATAGACAGACGAGCTAAAATTCTCTCTCTAAAGGACTTTCACAAATATGTTTTTATTATCGTTATTATATATTATAATCATCAACAATATATATTTTACTTGATGCATGTGTAATTTTTCTGCTTCGCGTAAGATAATTAAGAAGGTAGCTCTCAAGCACACGTCCAATAAATGACCCTACGCCTTGTTTAATTTCAACCTGATATTTTACACATAATTCCTTTAAAATCCACACTGAATATAAATGTAAGATTGTGTTTGTTCGTTTCTCCTTATTTCACGTCGAAATGAAGCATCGGCATTGTTCTGATTTTTTATAAATATTTTAGGTCAACGAGAGTGACAAAGACTACATTTTATTCCGAAAAAAACATTTCATTACCACGCGCAACTGTTTTATTATCTTTAAAAAATATAAGGACCATAATAATAATTCACACTTTTCTTAGACACACGGGTGAAGCCGTGACTAGCAGCTAGTATTATATTCGTATATTTTCATCCACCCTAATACAATTTTACATGCAAAAACAGTTTTTCTTTAGCGAGTAAACAGATATTTTTGCCGTTGTATCTGAAGTGGAAGGAGCGGGATATAGGTTGAGTGTTTACAGCGATGACACGGTACCCCCATTTGGACCTTCGCTGCCTTGTCCCGCAATCTTCAGCGATCCCCAACTCTTCAGGGAATTTTTACTGGTGAGAAATATTTAAGTGAAAGTAAATAGATAATAAACACATTTTGACTTTCTCCAAGGGTTTATGTGAGTGAAATTCAGTTTTAGTTTAGTTATCAGCTAAATCAGAATACGAAGATTTGCTATTGCGTGAATGATAAATTTAAAAAAATATATTCAAATTTACAATTTATCAAGTCTATATGACTCGGAACTTCCGCCCAGAGTTCTTAATTGTTTCGACTGTTTCCTAATTCTATTTATATGTTTTCGAATTTTCACCGCGACATGTAATTTCAGGTGAAATTGATGAATGGAGAGAAAGCCGCGTTTCAAACTCCCACTTTTGCATTGAAACGACAAAGGACTCTTGATACATTGATAAGGGACATCTATGCAGAGCATTGTGCAGACCACAAAGTGGTAGGTTCCATTCTGGTAGATTTTCAATTCTGACGAAAGAAAATGGATCCGAAAACATGATTAAAATTAAACTCGAAAATAAATTAGCACCACAACTTTGTATAAAATCTTTATCCTGCTGCTTCAAGTATATATAGATAAATCGGTTAACATAGAGCTTTTAGTTCTAATTTTGTCACTTCGACTACAAGAAGCTTTGCCCTTACTACATAGAATTCAGAGTACTTAACGGTAGGCAGACGGCAAATCATGGGCGACGGTAACCATTCACCATCAGGTGGGCCATATGCTCATCTGCCTGCAAAGGGCAATAAAAAAAAATCGAAACAAAGAAATAATTGTCACTTTTCAGTAGCATTACAAAATTGATTTGTAAAATTATTTAAAAAAAACAGTATTTGAAATCGTTAAGTCCAAAACGATTTGTTTACTTATTAAGCACACAATAAAAATTAATTCAGATACAAGGAAATGTTAATTACATAAATATAGCAATTTCTTAGCTTACTTCTTCGCTTCTTAGCTTCCTTCTCTAGTTTAAGAGATATTATTCCCTCTGAAAAATGTCAAGTCTCAAACCCACAGCCCATGTTGTCACGACGCGCGCTCTCTGACGTCTGGTCCGGAGGTGCTGGGGCAGGAGCCGGGGCGGCGAGAACCGAAAGATTCTTACATGTTGGTCAAGCTCTTAAACTAGACGCGGTCTTAAGAGGCGACGCCCCAACCAGTCTTGTTTCTACAGGTATGTTGACGTACTTACTGGTTTGAATTATTCAAATTAAGAATAACAGCAGAAAGAACTTTGCTATTGCCAAAATAGAAAAAAATTAAAACCACACCTATTTTAGTTCACTGTTGCATAAAACCAGCCTAAACTACGTATATATTCACAACAAATTGAGGGGTGAAAGACTATTTGGTTTAAACGACATTTTTAAAACTTTACAGGAGAGCCATTTTTATAATTTACAATTTGGAAAAAAATATTTTATCAAAAAAAAAATTCAGCTATTTGAATGGAGTAAACTTAATTGAAATTCAATTAAAAATATCAAACTGTTGATGCTATTATCAAATCAACGCGCCTTTAATTACAAAGATAAAATGTCGCGTATTAAGTGAAATCGTCTTTTCGCATTAAAACTGCATATTCTCAAAACTCATTATCTCAAATATTTTACAGGAGTGTTTTAAAGGTTTAACATGTGATATTTTTAATACTAATCATCTTTGCAACATTTATTTTTTACTAGTTACATTATCTGTCTTTTGTATGTATATTATATGTATTTCTACATATATTTCTACTTGTCTATCGGGCATTATCAAATCAAATCAAATCAAATCAAATCAAAAATTTTTTATTCAACATAAATGAAAGTACATACTTGTTGAACGTCAAAAGAACTACCGCCAATTCACAAGAACTAGCCTCCGTCCTGAGAAGAATTGGCAAGAAACTCAGCGGGCATGTTTTTTTTTTTTTTTTAANTTCAATTTCTAGCTCTTTACCCATCATTCCTTGTAAATTTTGATGCACCAAATTGAATATGTTAATAATTGAAACGTTAACGTCTTTTGATGGGTATAATCTAGTTGTATTAATTGATTTGTAATTGCAAGAGTGTGACTCCTTTGTCTTATTAATTAATTTAAATTGGAAGCAGATTCCAAAGTCTTAAAACATGTCATATTTTTTATTCCATTTTATATTGGACACTGTTTTCCATTTTTCGTTTAAATGAACCCTTTTTTTTAATGAACTCGTCCTTTTAAACCAAGGTTGCGGTGGCTTAAGACGTGCACCTTGGGAAGGTCGCGTGTGGAGAGCTGCTCCTCTTCCAGCATCTCCTGTTTGCGCTGAACAATTAGCAGAAGGACGACTACTCCTGTCTACTACCTCAAATACTTATATTTTAGAAGGTATTTCTTCATGAAAGCTAGTGTTATCGTGTGTTTATCAAAAAGTCCTGCAATTTGAATGGCAACCATACTTTTAACTGTTTCCTTCTTGTCGCAGCTCGCTACCTATTCTCTACTGGGTCGATTAGGTCGTTACCGGAGATTTTAACATAATTCCGCTGCCTACCTTAGACATGAATTAAAAATATTTAGTGATATAATTAGGAAAGGATTGTCCTAAACATTAAATTGCGTTAATACTATGCCCTACTACCAAATCAACGGGTTTCATTTTATTAGATGAATTATTTTTACTGGTGGTAGGACCTCTTGAAAGTCCGCACGGCTAGGTACTACCACCCCGCCTATTTCTGCCGTGAAGTAGTAATGCGTTTCGGCTTGAAGGGTGGGGCACCCGTTGTAAGTATACTGAGACCTTAGAACTTATATCTCAAGGTGGGTGGCGCATTTGTAAATGTCTATGGGCTTCAGTAACCACTTAACACCAGGTGGGATGTGAGCTCATCCACAAAATAAATAAATAAATAGTATTACTCACTAGTTCATCTAGAAAATTTGACTTAACAGAAAGTGGAACTACACGCGTAGTCCTCAGATGGGAAGGTTGCGTGCGTGCGGCGCGTGTGAGCGAACGCGCTGGCTTGTTCCGCGTTGGAGCGCGTGTTGTGGCAGGCGGGGGCTCGACCACGGGAGGGGCCGGCGGTGCGGGATTGTACGCGCTACCACTGCCCGAACTCTGCGCCGGCGCCTGGGCAATGCGACCGCTGCAGGACTGTAAACACGCACGACTGCCGCGTACCAAGACCGCTCAATACTTCGATGTCCTGGAGTCAGGTCAGTCGACAATCCTCACTTTAATACTATTATAACTTTTTTATTCCTTAGATAAGTGGACGAGTTCACAGCCCACCTATTTTTAAGTGGTTAGTGGAGCCCATAGACATCTACAACGTAAATGCGCCACCCACCTTTAGATATAAGTTTTAAGATCTCAGTATAGTTACAACAGCTGCCCCAACCTTCACGACAGAAATAGGCAGGGTGGTGGTACCTACCCGTGCGGACTCAAGACAAGAGGTCCTACTACCAATATAAAGTCGGATCTATTTGTTGCAAAAAACTTGTCCTGCGAATTCTTGTTCCTATAAATCCCTAAATAAGCCCTTAATACAAATAAAATATATACTATGTGCACCAAAAAAAAAAAAAAAAAAAAAAAAAAAAAAAAACAACANGAGTTTCTCGCCGGATCTTCTCAGCGGGTCGCGATTCCGATCCGGTAGTAGATTCATTCGCGAAACAATTGCTCTTGAGTTGTTAGGTCTCCTTCGGAGGCGCTCGGGCAGTTGTTAGCAAATCCTACCCCTCTTGGCTGAGCCTTTGCTCGCCCACCTGTCCTGGTGAAACTGGAAAGGCCTTCGGGCCACCAGTAAACTATCAATCATAAAAAAAAAAAAAAAAAAAAGATTACATTTTTGGCGCATTTCTTTCTTCAGATGTAATCCATAATATTTAAGTATATTTACAGTTTTCGACTTGTATACCTTTCGGCATTTTTTTGGATGAAATGGTCGCAGTTGGTCTATAGATCATTTTCCCGAAACAATATTATTTTATCGTAGTAGAAGATAATTTTTTTTCTTGTTTTCATTTAGTTAACGGAAATAAGACAACACTAGCAATAGCAGTCGGTAGAAGAGTGATGCTCATGATCGAAGAAGTTAAGGCTGACTATGAAATGGGATTCGAGTACGTACATATCAAGGTAAGCCATCTGCTTTACTATCAAAACTAATACAATAATACTGTATAATTGACGTATATTGAATAGAATCGTAAAACACGAGTTCCGGTAAATTACACCTGTAGTGGTTTAGTATTGGTAAAAAAAGGCAATTAAACAAAATTAATTCCATTTTAAATATTAATAAATTTCTCGTAGGACATTCAATTAAGCGAAACGCCGACCCTCATCAAGCTGATGGACGGTGAAGTTGAAACAATGGTGGTCGGCTACAAACACCATTGGGAGATTCTCGACACAAACAGTGGCCAAGTACGTTCTGATAATTATTAGGTCTTATTTAAATGTTTATTGCCTAGATGCACAGATGAGCTCTAAGCCCTGATATTAAGCGATATTTTTTTCGATTTCGGCGATTCGTCAACATAATTAAAACTACATTAATCACGAATGGCTAAGTTGCTATTCGTCGACATTAGAATATGGTGCCAAAAACTGTCTATTTACCGTTCTATCGGAAATATCTCTAGACTTTTTTCCCTATCTATTCGTTGGTAGGTTATAGGGTTATTCCAGCTTCGCTTGGACAGGGAGACTTACGTTTCATTTCATAGTACGAAATAATAGTAGGTATCTCGAGTTCTGCCAGACCTTAAATCTTATAAATAATATAAAATATTATATTCCTGCATCATGAAAGTCATTCCTTCATAATTACCTACTAAAATAATTGGAGCTTGCTCTAGGATTAATTTATGACAGCTTAATGACTATGGGACTTACGTGCCACTGATGACTTGATAATCAAAACTTAACATGTACTTAATATGTACACATCATAGTTTTTTTATTGGGTTCTAACATATTGTATCGACGCAATAAATAAAACACATGCGATAAGTCTTATAGCTAGTACAACAGACATCCGTATATCAAGAAATAAATAAAATCTAAAAGCAAATTTATAACGAATTTTGAACAAATTAAAATGAATGTTCTAGCAATGCTTTTGTAAAATATTTATGATTTGTGTAGTCATTTTAATTTATTAAAATTATCTATGATAATATGTAGTAGTGATTTATAAGTAATTGCAATACACACGTTGTCATGTTGTGTAAACTAACTAGTACTCGTAATAGTATTAGCGTATAGCTTAGGTTGGTTAGGTCGTTTTATTTTGGCCCCAAATGACGTCATACGTTATGAACGAATTTTCTTCAATTTACACGGCAATTTCGTAAAATAAATGCTGTCCGATTTCCTTGTATCGGCGACAAGTTACTATTAAATAAAATGAACTGTCTAGAAACTGTTTCATGGAACATAGTATCTGAATATGTAATTATAAATTAAAATTTAGGGTGTGAAAAGAGCCGAAAATTCCGAAGACCCTGGAACCCGACGCGGGACTCTAGTCAATGCTCTGAGGATTGGCGACGAAAGAGACGGACAAATTGTATTATGTTACAATCGTAAGTTTGCATGACACTTTATTTTAGGAAGGAAGAATTACTTGTGGCCCGGAGACCTACCGTTAGTCTAGTTTCACCAGGGCAGGTGGGCGAGCACGAACTCGGAAGGGAGCATAACACTTTCAATTTTCATAAAATAGCCGATTCTTCTCGATTCGGCTCGATTGCCTAAATGAGCACATATTATGTAGGTATAATTTAAAGAGAGACCTTACAAGGAAAACTCTCGTGAAACGTTTTGAAACGTAACTTATGATTTAGTTTATTTTAATATTGATTATTGCTGTCGTTTTTACGAATATTAATATTTTTCCATAGAAGGTTGCTTCAAAAGCTCTAGGTCCACCGTCGCTTGCGCTGGGCTCGACGAGCGAATTAACCCATAGACACAGCCCACTGAGTTTCTCGCCGGGTCTTCTCAGTGGGTCGCGTTTCCGATCCGGTGGTAAATTCTGCAAAGCACTACTCTTGCTAGGACCAGTGTTAGCAACACTTCCAATTTAAGCCCCGTGAGCTCACCTACATGTCAGGGTAGAGCTGAAATAGCCTCTCAAGGCTATCAGCATAGGTAGGGAAAAAAAGGGGGCAATGCCTTTAATTGTTGCTCACACAAATGTAAATTGTAGCTTACGACTTAAACTCTCTCTGGTTGTTAATGTTGGTAATAAAGACCTATATATGATTTTACAGATACATGTCACTTTGAGAGGCTAACAAGCAAAGGATTAGAGAGCGACGGAGAATATGACTTTCATTGGACCACAGTTCCCGCTGCCATCGGTAATTTAATTACAATAGTAAACTTCTTTTTCTGGCTTCTGATTCTATTTCTTTCCTTAAATTAGTTTCAAGCTCTTTTTATTAAAAACTATATTATTGTACAATCTTTACGTTGCTATTATCATGCAACCCCGTAATTCTTTCGAAAACCAAATGTACCATGTTCCGCATCAAAGCCAGATTGGATTTTTTTTTCTAAATAAAAATTCTAAATCGCGGCAAACTTGATGTGAACTGGTTACCGGAACCCGTAGATGTCGTATGAATACCACCACCCACCTTGAGACAGGACGTGGTAGACTCAATCGAATTATTATTAACAAGCTATTGCTTCAAACGTCAAAGCCTGACTGTTTCGCGGAAAACATAAGATATACATTTCTATGTATTTGCCAACAATGTATCGATGACCGATTGGCCTTAACATCATAATACCTATTTAAAAATGGAAGCTCGTCATTATTGATTGAATACAATATATTGGGAATTATATTTATAATTGGTAAAAGTCTGTACCGGGTGTAGTAAACACATCTCATGTGTGTTAGGGTTACCACCAGTGAAATCAATAAAAGCAATTGCATGAATTTTCCATACAAATTAGTTAAATCGCCATCATGGACGATACTAAATTATATGATTCTTCTACGATTAGTTTTTGTTACCATTGCACTTATTTGGTTTTATCGTCGTTTATATGTAGTTATAATATTTATTGTTTTATCATATTATTAATCAAATTACTTTTTTAGTTTGTGCTTTTCCATATATAATGGCCTTCGCGGAAGATTTACTGGAGATACGATTAGTGGCAAACGGTTCTCTGGTGCACGCAGCCTGCATACCGGGCTTAAAGCTTCTGTGCGGACGAATGGTGAGCATTACAATCTACATTTATAAATAAAAATCATATTCAAATTAATTCAAAACATTTATAAGCTTTTTAAGGAATAACGCATTTCGGGAAAAACTCCATATTCTGTACGGCTGTTTGCGATAAAACTAAATAGGAAAATTAATGATTTTATTGAACACTCTTGGCTGGAATTTTTTTTTTCAAAGATTTTTCTTCTAAAGTACATTTTTATGATTTTTTTATTATGTTAAACTAATCTTATTTAGGATATATTCTACGTGGCCTGTGCCCCGGAATACGTACCATTGAGCCGTGAGATAGACCCGTGCTTGAGTCTGCACGACTACGAACTAGTCAAGCAGATGAACAAACAAAGCGGCCCGTATTCACTGGATGAAGATGAAAACCACGAAAATAAGTATGAAATTATTTGAATATTTAGAAATCATCATTTTATAAAGTTTTATTGCATGCATATGTGCATATTGCACTTATTCTTTGATAGAACATATTCAAATTCTACGAAATGTACCGAGTAAAGCCGTGTAAATAGTATAGTACTATATTGTATTTGATAAATTCCCGATAGTCGTAATTCGATCATAAGCCCATCTTACCTTAACACTCATATTCGTTCGGTTTACATTATAAAAATAGGTGGGAAAAGTAAAATGTTACAAAATATCTGTTTGACACCTTTTTTATTTTATTTTTATTGCTTAGATGGGTGGACGAGCTCACAGCCCAGAGGTTACTGGAACCCATAAACACCTACAACGTAAATACCGCCTTGAGTTCTAAGGTCTAACTATAGTTTCAACAGCTGCCCCGCCCGTCAAACAGAAACGCATTACTGTTTCACATACATTTCGCAGAAATAGGCGGGATGCGGAGTCACGCGAGGTCCTACCACCAGTAATTACGCAAATTATAATTATGCGGGTTTGATTTTTATTACACGATGTTATTCCTTCACTCTGGAAGTCAATCGTGAAACTTTGTTAAGTCCGTATTTCATTAGAAAAATTGGTACCCGCCTGCGGGATTCGAGCACCGGTGCATCGCTGAATACGAATGGACCGGACGTCTTATCCTTTAGGCCACGACGACTTCAAGCTTACATATATTGATAATAATTTAAATTATCTTAAAATCGAACAGAGGCGACGCGGCTCATGCGAATCGAACATCCGAAGACAACTCAGCCTCGAGCAGAAGCAGCTCTATATCATCAGAACAGGAGAACATTAGGCCTCCATTACAAAGGATGGCGCCTATATCACCGCCTACGTCACCACAAGGTAGTTGATACATTAAAATTGTGAGTTAATTGAATACCAATTGAAGACATGAGTGGATGAAGGGGATATGATACAATTCGTTAATTTAATTTTGAGAAAACGGGCAACAAACTTTTGTTACATATACTTATTTTTCGTACACAACTCATCACATGCAATTTCTAAAAATAGCCTTTAAAGTCGTAATTTTAAGGCCTAATATGGTTTGTAGGCACATAACACCTTCATTCAATGTAAAAACTCGAAATGTTGAAAATGGTACTTAACCCCTTCATCCACTCATGTATTCAATTAGTAGAGACTACTGCAGTTAGGTTTGTGAAATGATTATGTACTCGTAATAAAAATACACTTATCTCTCTTATAACTCGGTACTCTTATAACGCATTTTCATATTACGCGGGGATTTTACACGTTATATTTCTGTATGTACTGTGAAATGTATAAGTAGGTTTGCAGAGTTCATAATTAATTTCGCGTGCTTTTGCACAGTGTGTCAATTGTGTTGTTATAAAATTAAATTAAATTAATTTATTAAATTTGTTTCTAGTTTTTGAGCTAGCGCGTTATGTGAGAATACACCCATAACGCGAATCCAATCTACCGTGTTATAGGAGATTACTGTTTTTAAACTACTGGCAAGCATGATTTTATTGATAATTATTGAAAAGGGATAATTTAATTACCTCCATGCAAAAACGTGGTTTTTACCTGTTCAGCAACAAAGGAATCGTCTACTATGCTTGGTCACTAATTTGAATTGATATTTTTCAGTAATGCCAGAGAACAGTCGTTGCGTGCGTATTTACAAAATACCACAGAGTAACCTCAGCGCGGGTACTTACCAAAGACAGTCTGTGTCAGCCGATCAAGTCGTCACCTCCTACTTTCCAGACAGGTTGGTTTAATCAATAGGTCATTCGCCTGACTGCCATGTTAATTGCCATGGCAGTGAATTTCACAACATTACATTTACAAAATTAGTTAATTTCATGGCTGTTCAGTGACCACTTTTGACAAACATGTTGAATATAATTCATTTAAATAGATCGGTAAATAGACACCTAATTGTCATATGTTTGGCTAGTAAATGCGGGTGTGCAAGGTTAATTAGTAGATATAAAAACCATGGCACCGTATCGCGGCCAAACACATATTTAAAAAAAATACATAGTAAAAAACCTCATTCAATAAAAAAGTTCAAAATTAATAGCTCTTATTTTTTAGTTTTCAAGGATTATAGGTATATTCGTCGGACAATTACGCATAGTTAAACGTTTTATCATAACGTCTCCCATCTCTTATTGTCGGATTATTCTGTGGGGTTACGCCGTGACGACTTGACTGTCGATGGCGCCCTACTCAAAATTGTATTGGTTTATTTTTTGGGCATTTAGGGCTTGAGTTCTGTACCTACTATAAACAATCATTAAAAATAAAATAATAAAATTATTAATTATTAAAAATTAAACTATTAAAAATAATAACTGGTACAAGAGTGGTTGGTATAAGAGAATCAAATTACTAGAACAGCCCTTTATAAATGATTTTTTTTTTATTGCCGTATAGGCAGACGATCATACAGCCCACCTCATGGTGAGTGGTTACCGACGCTCATGGACGTTAGCAATGCCAGGGGCAGAGCCAAGCCGCTGCCTACCGTTTAATACTCTCTACAAGCCTCTTTTGAAGGAGGACATGTCATAGCGCTCGGGAAACAATGTAGATTGTTTCAAATGAAATAAGTAGTTTATTCCTTACAGACCAAACAGCATCAGACAGAGACTAGCGGAGTTGAGATTAGACAGCAAGTCTAGAGGAGGAGGCGATGACGAAAATTTGTGAATGAATCATGTTTCATCAAATGTACGATGAAAATAAGCCGCTGCACAATTTTAAATTCGTTTGTAAAATAAAACAAAAAGGTTTTAGAATAGCTTGTTAAATGAGGTTAACTCTATCGAATGTTGTAAACGTTGACTTATTCCATTAAAATAGAATATAAAATTGAATACAGTTACAATTAGACGTGTATATTCAGAACGTATATTTTTTAAATAAAAATTGTTGGTGATAAATGCGTATTATATTGTTATGGATCGATGGGATTAATGTGATCTTTAAAGTAAGTACAACGCAACACATCACTCTTCAATCGGTACTTAGTAATATAAGTAATAAGTGGGCTATTGAACGCGTAGCCTTCGCGTATGAAATATGTAAAAAAATGTGCAAATTCACAAAAAAATCATAATAAATTTTATGAATGTTGTTGCATAGGATGAGCATGTTGAATGAAATTAGAAAAGTTCAGAAGGACGAAAATGTAAAATTTAATCCGATTAATGTCGGAAGTACTACATTGATATTACAATGACATTAACCATTAGTAGGTACCCTATTCTTAGATCTGATTAAAATATTTTATTAAGTGTGACAAAGTATTTAAATCTGAAAAAAAAGAGATTCGCATTTGGTCCACATTTCCATCTTTCATTTATTTCAAAAACACTTACTTGATTCGCCATCTAAACTAGTCTTTGTTGATAATTATATGATATTTATAACATTATCCATTAACTTTAATTTCCATTTTTTAAATTTAAAAATAATATAGCTATACTTAAAGATGCATTTGTACAACTTGTATTTGGGTATACTAAATAAGCATTTGTTATTCTTAAGATATTCTTTGAGTCACTTGACTTGGAAAACTTTAAGACATAAAGTGATTTATAAATAGTGGATAGAATTTAAGTAATAAATGAATGTAAGTGTACAAGAGGGCGAAACTCCATAGTTTTAAATAAAATATTGCTATTATTATAATAGATACATGATAGCTCGACTCTACTTTGCCCACAACATGTTTCCAAATTTCAATGTTGTGCTTCATACAGTAAAAATAACACGCACAATTTCTCAGTAAAATTGCGGAATCGATAACGGTTCCTTTTCCTAAAGATAACTTCTAACCGTAATTTCAAATTATTCGTGCAAAGCATAATCTGCGGGAATAATAAGTGTTTTCCTTGTCGCCTTGTTTCTGCATCGCTTGAATAAAATTAGTGCCCGCATTATTTTTTTCTTTTCTTGGATTAAATAATTAATTAACTTTAACTAATACCAGCAGTTTCCTAATTTGCGAACAAAAACATCTCACTTTATTCCCCTACCTAACCGATATTAGTCGATAGCCTACTACTATTCCAACAACGCGCTGACGGAATCATCTCACACTACCCCTATGACTTTAGTCATTTAACACTTAGGTACTAGGTATATAGTAGATGATAATTTAAATTAAATAAATAAAAATCCGCAGTACTTTCTTACTCCATAATAATAAAAACGATTAATTTTAATAATCCGCGCTGTCCTACTAAATATTTCTAATACATTTATACCTAAGCAAAGTAAACTTTAGTGTACAATGTTTTGGGTAACTATTACGTACAATTTATCAGTAATGTATTACTCAAAGATAGTAAAAATCAAATCAGTTTATTTTAAATGCTATCGAACGCAGATATTCAAAGCACGGCACACCGAATGTTCTTCGTATCGTTGGTCTGTTCAAACTTATTTTTGAAACCTCATTTAATTTTGAAGGACAATTAACAGCGGAGATACCAGTCATTAAATATAGCTACCGGTCATTGTAACATTGTAGAATGAGACATATAGTTACTTGCACATACAAGCTGAAACTAAAAGTGTGCATAGAATACATTCAAACAATTTCTATAGTGTTTAAGAATTCAAAGATAATTTGTGTACATACAATTTGAAAATAATACAATTTATAAACTATATAAAAAATATAATATTAATATTCGACGAAAACATCGACGGCGCCGATGTAATTTCTGCTACATTAGAGTAAGACCCTAATAATTAAAGAGTACCTACTTTAGAGTATCTCTTTAAAAGACTATTTTGCGATCCATCTTTGGCTATCGCACAACTAATTTGTTAATACCATAAACTCTATCGTATTGTTCGCATTTTAAATAAATCATAAAATGTATTTTATAAAATCATTACCAGTAAAGAAGTGCCATCCAAAAGATTCGGTTAACTACCTTAGAGATAATAAATTAATATTTTGCGATGCAAGCGAATTGAATATTTAAATTAAGAGTAAATACTAATCTTCTGTGTAAGTTTATGTATTCTAGTAGTCATTTTTGAGTAAAAAATTAATAATGTTAATAGAGATTCTGCACTGGATTTAAAAGTGTAATACGGCACTGGACGATGTAATATTTACTGAATAGTTTATTTGATACCATTAACAAATACCTATGATGATTGTAAAATAGTTACATAATTTACATATTTTGGAAATATAGCGGAAATTAAACCTCTTAATTACCTAATTGTATCTTTTTAGGAATCATCAAAATGATTAAAGAGTTTTAATCTCATCATAAACGTTCATTGTGCTCAGTGCGACTTTTTTAACGTTCACGATAGCGTAAAAGTTAACTCAATTTTGTATGCAGTTGGTACAGCGCCCCTAGCGGCAAACGTAGGCAAACGATCCCATTCCATACAATAACTTTTACGCTATCGAGAACGTTAAAAAACTCGCACTAAGCAGACAGTTTTGTTTCATAATAAAAAGATCGTGTAATGTATGCTTGAACAAAATGGATTAAATTCATTTTGTTCGCACATTTAACGTAGGTACAAAATATTTACTTGATATGATAGAATTTTCTTTAATACACCTGATAATTCTTCGTAGTAATAGATGTAAAGGCAGTGGCATTAATATTGGTGTAAATAAAATTATGACGCAGCCGTAAATTGGCTAGAGATACTTCGTATTATAAATTGCTCATAACTTTAAAATTTAATTTTTTAACTTAATTAATTTAATAGCGCATTTTTTTAGTGGCATCCAAAAAGTAATAACGTAGGTATCTACAAAGTAATTATATTTTGATAAGTTGCAATTTCAATACTTATAAGAATGTTTAATTATTTAAAAAAAATAGAGCATCGATTTTAAATATCGTGAAATAATTACCAAAGTTTGCAAAACCAAAATAATTTATATGTTTGTAAAATAAATCTATATAATTCCTACAGTTTATGTGTAAAACTGAACATATTTGAATCTCACTGAAGTAGTAAAAAAAATATTAAATAAGTTTAAATTAATAAACAAAATCGTTGTATAAACTACAATTGGAAAAAAAACTATTGGTGTTTTTTTCAAATAAGTAAGTCTTAGTATAGCTCTGTCTGTGTTTTTATTAAACAAATCAAAATTGGTTTGTTTAGCAATTTCATACAGATAAGTACGAGTAAGTGCAAAACAAACGTATAATATACAGTTTTACAGTATTAAAATTTCGTTTAATAGATATGATGGCGAACATTATAAGGTATAGTAAAGTGTATTGTATTATGAATTTATGACTAATGTTGTAAGATATTTCTCATGTAGTAGTGAGGTTTCTACTTACTGATGTGTATATTTAACGGCATACTGACTATTATTACAAAGTGTTAACATTGAATAAAATTAATAATCAGGAATGAGGGTAGAACACGTGGACAGATGAGGGATATCAAGTATTTCTAGTGGGAAGTGTTTGAAGGATAAAATAATCATTGATAAGTTATATTGTTTATAGTGTGATCGATTAATAACATAAAGTTATCACTGAGTTTTGAGTGTATCATGTAAAGAACTATGGAATTTATTGACAAAAAAAATGTATACAGGCATTGTAAAATATTTCCACCTCGCAAGAGGCTACGAGATTATCCCACGATGTTGCCTCATACTTGTGTAACGGTTGTTGTTTCAATTTGGTATCCCTACACAATATTTCCTTTGGAGGAAACGGGAAAGGAATTTATAAATAACTTTAATTGTTACGTAATTCAGTCGCAACCGATTATGATTTAACTTATTCTTTATAGCTGTAACAAAAAAATGAAACGATTCACCAAAAATTTTTATAATTATGTAACGTAGAACTGATTACCGACAAATTGAATAGAAAATGACCCTGTCGTGAAAAACTTTAAAATATTATTTTTACGGATTGTGATAACTGAATACCTATTATGTATTGTGAATATGAAACTGTGTGTATAGTAGCCTATTATTAAAGTAGTTGATTTGAATGTTTTAAAAACAAATAGTAATTTAATATGTTTATGAAATTTAAAACATAGATATAGTATCTAATCTATAAATTGTTCCAAAGTTTATAAAAATGATATAAGATTATACACTGTTGTAATTGTCTCTGGAGTTTAAATAAATTAATGTCTGTTCGAAGAAAACGTCTTTTATTAAAATTTACAACGTACGTGTAATAAATGCATGAAGTAACTATATAAATATTTTATTTTATTTATTAAAACATAATTAAAACAGAATCCAAATATTTGATAGGAATAGTCTACATTAGTTTCGGTTGCTGTTTTAAGGCAGTGATGTCCAAAAACCTAGGCATTTCATATGTCGGTGATTTTGGGGTACCTGTAATAAAAAAATTATAATTCAGATGATCCATGCGTTATTAATTAAAATATTAACTATTTAAATTTTTGTAACTATGTACTTTGAGAGTAGTTTTTAGAGTCATAGCGAAAATTGGAAATATTTACCTTCTAGTAATTTATATCGTTCCATGTAATTTCTCGTCGCTATGGACATGTCCGCAGGGCGAGGCTCTGGCGTCGTGGGCTTGACAGGTTCTTTGTAAGCTAGAGTTGGCTGACCTTTCAGATACTTAGCTGCTAATTGGTTCATCTTCAAACTTGTATCATTAAGGGCAGTATATATATGAGGCTGGTGTAATCCCAGCGGATCATCGCCGAACTTGACTCTGCAAAAACAAATAAGCGTTATATAACTATTTATTACAAATGTGTGGGTTCGCAAAATTTTATGGATCACGTTTTATAAAAACATACATATGAAGTCTAATTTACCAACGTGGCTCAGTACTCTAGGTACTTCTTTTTTGTCCATTTCATTATTATTAGCTATCGTAAGATCAGATTCTAACCATAAAGTCACAGCAAACGCCGCCGACAACCTTTAGATAAAGTTTTTAGGATTATTGGAATAACGGCGCTCTTCAAATCGGAACGCGTATTAACCATCATGGTAAAACTAAGCAGAGCGGTGGTCTTAGATATTTTCGAAATGGAAGATAACAAATTTACATTTTGACAAGTTTTTCAATTAGCTATTTTTTTTTTCTACCTAAGCTGATAGCCTTGAGCGGCTATTTCAGCGTAACCTTAACTAGTAGGTGAGCTCGCGGGGCTCAAACCGGAGTGATGCTAACACTGACCCTAGCTAGAGCAGTGCTTCGCAGAATCTACCACCGGATCGGAAACGCGACCCACTGAGAAGATCCGGCGAGAAACTAAGTGGGCTGCGTCTATGGGTTAATTCGCTCGTCGAGCCCTTCGTCGCAAGCGACGGGTTCGGCGAGGACGGCGAGCAGAGCTTGTGGTGCCTAAAGGCACAGTTAATGGATCGGGAGGATCCGTAATGACGTGTTTTGAGCGACATTGACTGTTTACCATTCGGTCTACAGGATCGGGTATACATTAGCTATGAGGAAATAAGATAGCTATGGGGGAAAATGCGTAGCTATATCGTTTGCATATCCCAGAGCTACTTAGAAACAATAGTGAATTTGCTCATTAGATCATAGTGCACAAATTAACCTGTTTAACTCATTACCATATTTAATTTAAACCTTTGCACTTGAGAGTCTCACTCACCACTTTCTTCAGTGCAGAAATTCAATGCGCTGTTTTGCAAATTTTTTATGTTTCTGATAGATTTATTTTTCATTACATTATGTGGTGAGCAAGACGCACCTCTCGAGTGCAAAGGGTTAGTACCTAAATCATTCTATTCAATTTTATCTATCTTTTTATATTAATTTTACACATTATCATAGTTAATGTTCATTATTATCTATTTACCTCTTAGTAACACTGACATTCGTCTTGTCAATGTGCATTTGCACACATTGTCTTGCATTTCTGTACAGTGCACTAGCTGACGATGGTATATCAGAGTCTTGCAATATACCATTCACGTGAGTCTTGAAATAATAAGAAAAAAGTGTGCTTTACCAAACAAGTTTTTAATAAGAGCTTGATATAAAAAACATATTTTTTTTTTTATATTAATTTAAACCACACAAGTAGACAGCTGTACTAACCATAACTTTATTGTAATAGGTCCATCCAAGATTGGACTGGTCATCATTGCTTGCATCAGACCTATAAATGACAGTTGAAAATTAATGAAAATGCATTTATACAGTACAGAACTTCAACAGTACTTAAAAGCAGTTTATATTTCTAATATTAAGAACTACTCAGCATCATTAACAGACACATCAGCCATAACAACAATTCATTTAACAAATAAAACACTAAATATGAACTGTGTTATCATCATCAATTCATGGTTTTGGCCAAATTAAAAACCAGCATGAATGCAATTTAACTATGAAGCATACAAGGGTAAAGTAGCTGTTGTACCAGTTTTTTTGTTGCTGCTCAAGTTCAACAATGGTATGATCTTTGTGAAGTATTTTATTGTGATGATGAGCTCTTATCATCAGAGAGGCTGATGGCTGAGGCTGAATCTGACCAACTTTAAATAACAACTGAGCAAAAGTAAACAAATACTCACTCACTATAATCCCTAACATCCAAATACATGCTTGGCTCTGGTGACATAAAGGGTGTTGTTGCATTATCAACTTGTACATTATACAAACTATTTTCATTCAATATCTTCTCTTCATTTCCATTGTTTTGTGTGTTAGAGTTAGTTAAAGCAGCTTGAGGTGGTGGTAAATTAGAAGGTGGCGTTAGACCATCTAAAAAATTTATATTTGTCGGCTGAGCCTTTGATATCACTTCTTTTATACTTATTTGTGATCTATTACATTGTATTTGTGCATTCTCATTTGTTTGTTTAAATAACTCCTTGTTGATCACCGTAGAAGTTTGTACCACTTCAAAGCTGGTCATTACACCAATAGATATTTTATGTTCAGTATTTTGTAACATCTCTTTGGGTTCCGAACACTGTTGAGTTTTTTCTGTTGCATATATGAATTTATCTACTTTCTCTTGCAGCAGCTGAAGTTGTTCATTTTGATGTTTTATAATTTTGAATAAATCTGCAACAGTTGGTTCACATTTCTCCTTAAGTACATTATTTTGTGGTACTATTTCTGTATTTGTAGGAATGGCATTTTCTTCATATCTTTTTATAGCTAAAGTCTTCTGATCCACAGCATCTGCCACTGTACAATTGCCAGATTGTTCACTGATAAAATTACAAATTGGAGGTTTTTGCTTTTTGTGATCACAATGCGTGCAGTTATTTGGTTTTGGTAAGCAACACTGACAATATTTCTTTTTTGGTGCATTATAACAATGAAATTTTTCTCTCAAACAATGTTCATTTGATACTGTCTTTACACAATAATGACATGAGCAGTATTGAGTCTGTGTTGCAGGGATAGATACAAGCTTTGAAGAAACTGGCTGTTTTTGCTGAATACATTCTGGTGAGTTCATATTATTAATAAATTCTCCTTTTTTAGCTAAAGGATAATTTTCTTTACCCAAACTTAACCTACCAAATTGCTTATAAATTTGGCCATTGTCAGTGCAATTCAAATCCCTATTATTATTGCGTCTGATAAAGAAGCTGTTATCTTTCATCAAAATATTAGGAGAGTTTATGCTTTGATTATGAACAGTTGATAATGCAGGACGAAAATTATAATCTGAACTCTGATGTAGTGTGTCAATTCTTTCTGGGATTTTAAGAATCGGTCTGGAAGGAGCCTTTGTCTCATAACATGATGCATCAAATAAACTCAAGTCCAGTTCATTAGATGGCAAACACTTAGGACCCTTTTCTAATAAATCGCTCAAGTGAGTCTTATTAACAGTTGGATATGGCATGCTATTACTGCACTCAAATCTTTGTGCAGGATCTGAGTTATAGGGCAAAATTCTTGTATATTCTTGAATTTCCGGTGGTATAATAAAGGCATGATCTCCGATAAGTGGCCGAGGAGATTCACACTCCGCTTCGGTCATTGTCGAAAATTTTAGAGGGCTTTCAAAGCGGACCTTCTTCATGAGTACGTTATTTACTGGTTACTGTTTATGTGTTTAGGTAATATATAAACACTCGAATTCTTGACCGTTGTTCACAAATTTTACAAACAATAATCTACAATTTATAGGCACGCTCGTGGCAACATTTTTATTGTACCAATTCCTCTCAGTTGATTAAAATCTTATAAGTTAGACAGGACTATATTAATACTATAGATGAAAGGAAGTTTGGCACCGTAAAAAGTACAGTAAATTAAATTAAATGCTTTCCCGTTCCTACCTTTTGAAATTCAAATTTATACTCACATTTCTCATTTCGTTGTCCATTTGGCAATGGGAAGGAAGCACATACTGGCTAGTTTTTTGTACTCATCACGGGCCGATTTCACTTTATCAATTAAAATAAAAATAATTTAATTTGAAATCAGAATAAAGTTCTCCTAAATAAAACATCGACTTTAATAGCGATTACAATTACTTTTTTGCGAAAACGCGAGAAGTAAAGTTGTGTGAATTGTTTTTGTTTTGTTAATTTTGCGTTTTTTCAGTTTTAAATGTGTAATAACAGTGGTTTAATTTTTAATTTAATTGTTTAATATATGTAAAAGTGCATAAATGTGGGTAAATGGAACAAAGCCGCTGGACGTAGCTTTTCGGAATCTTCCAAAGAGACTATATTTCATCTCATAATTTTATTTCAATTGATTAATATCTGAAATTAGTCAATTTCGCTTCATTTCACTTCATACGTTCCGTCATGACCTATGCAAGTGTAGTGTTCGCTTACGCGACTCGCATGCCCATAAACTCTAGTGTCCATACTTCGTGCGAGTTTTTAACGTTCTCGACAGAGTTTAAGTTAATTCAACTTTATATGGGGGGTCGGAGGAGGGCGTTTGTCCAGCTACCTACCGCACGCTACCGTCACTCTAGAGCGCTGGTACCAGGAGGACGGGACGACACGTCGGCGGCTGCGGACTGCGATGCGGGCCGCATTTTCGTCAGCGCTGTCGTCGCCGAACACACCGTGGAAGAGCAACCCGGTCGGCGGTGTATCGCGTTCCGACCCAGCAGGCTGGTTCTGGCCCAGCGGGGAATCCCGCCAGCGGCATTGCCTGGGCGGCCTGGTAGGGCCGCCGTACCGCGGAGACCGACGTTGTTGGTCGTCGACTATCGCCTCGACGACCCGTCGGTCGGGCGTCCTCGGGGTGGCACCGCGTGTCTGGTTGTAGTGTTGACCACGGGAACCCCCCTACTCTGACCGGGTTTAGACCCCGGACGGAGATCGGGCGTCAGGTGTAATAATGCAGGGGAGTCGTTTAGTGGGTGGACCCTAAAATTCCTTGGGCCCGCGGTCTGCTCTCAACACTTGCACATCGTTGAGTCCCACATACCCCGTGCGCCCCCTAGGCGCGGGGACCTCGTAGGAGGTTCGGTCCCCGGCCCGAGAAAAAAAACACCTTTATATCTTTAGGTACCGTCAGAACGCTACTTCGACAAAGCGGCGCGATGCGAAATCCTCTTATCGTGGCCGCCACTAATTATTACCCAAACCAGGCGACAGGGTAACGCAAAACTGCCGTTGCCCGAAATATGTCTTGTTGGATCCCCGAATTCAATCTCAGGGCTTTTAGGTCCCTCAAGTACCGCTCACCGTCCTCGTCAATTATGACGAGCGAACTAACCCATAGACTTTTTCTGCCTAACCTGGTGGCCTTGAGGGGCCTAGCAAGAACAATGCTTCGCAAAATCTACCACTGGTTAGGGAACGTGACCCACTAAGAAAATCCGGCGAGAAACTCAGTAGGCTGTATCGGTGGGTTAATGTACTCGCCGAGCCCTTCGTCGCAAGCGATGGGCTCTACCGGTTCGACTAGAACGGTGACATAGATACATAGACACACTGAGCCACTGAGTTTATCGGCGGATCTCCTCAGTGCATCGCGATTCCGATCTGGTGGTAGATTGTGCGAAGTACTGCTCTTGCTAGGGCTAGTGTTAAATTCTCTCAGGTTGAACCCATGGGCTCACACATACCTGTCTGGGCATAGCTGGAATAGCCTATTAGGCTACCAGCGAATAGTTACGGGAAAAAAATCGCTTCAATCATTTTTCAAAAAGCAAAATAAACCAAAGATTAGGCTGTATAAGGTGACACCTTCGTCTATCCAGTTGGAAAAATGGAACCACAACCACCTTAATAATTGTTAAAAGTCTAATTTAATCGCATCAACAATATAACTAAATACCTACTATTTGTTACTAACAATTTATCACCAATAAAATGAACGGAAAATTACTACGAAATTTTAATCCACTGGTTTCTATCATTCGATCAAAAGGTTATAAACATCCAGGAGGTATTCGTTACCCTGGGGGCATAACATACTATCCCAGGTAATATATAAAATCATTTATATACACAACTCGCTAGGGTCCGGCGATCGTCTTCAGGCTTTCTTAGAGAGCATTGCTCATTCAATAATATTTGCTTACTATTGTCATGACTTTAATTATACTTTTTAAATTTCATAGATTCCCAGATTACAAAGATCCTGAAATAACTCCATCAAAGTTGTTCAGAGTAGAGCGAATTAAATCAAGCAAACATTTTCCATACTGGCAAAAAAGGATATTGGATGAATTGAAAATTCATGAGGAGGTTTGTGTTAATAATATGAATGAGAAACTAAAGCTGCAATTCTTCTGTAAAAAATATTTGAAATAGATTTTTAGTGCTTACTAAACTTTTTTTTACTTGATATTCTTTTTATAACAAAATGTGATGGATCAATCTGCAATGCAACAGAGTGAGAGGTTAAAATCAAGAATTATTATCTATTAATTAGTTTATTATAAAAAAACATAAAAATTCAAAATATTCGCATAAATAATGACTATTTAAAACTTTAGCTTTTACTTTCAGACCAGAGTCACTGTGGTTAAAAATATACCAGAAATCAATGCTAAACTATGGAAAATCAAGCATTTGATTAAAATTACACCAATTGAATTTCCTTATGGAGAACCAACTGCAGATGATATAAACTACACAATCCTTAAAGAAAATGGTCAATGCTTGGTTACAAAAAAATTGGAACCGGAATTCGGCCAGATCCAGGCCCTAGAAGAATTTGATAGTGATAGAAAAAAGATGAATTCTACAACCATAAAAAGAGATACTAGACATAGATGGAATACAGGATATGGAGGGGGATTTTAAATTAAATTAGTATGTTCAAATATGTAGTATTAAAATTAAATAAAATGGTTTTATTTACTTATATTCAATTATGAGCTGAAAATAAATTATAGGACCAAGTTAAATTAAGTATTCTTCTTCTTTGTCCTGTTTCCTCATTACTGAGGGTCGTGACCACCTTGGTCCAGTTAATATAAAAATTATAAAATTAAGTATGGAAATATTCAATATTGATAATGGCAGTTTTATCCTTTTAGGCTTAGAAAACTGCAGTACTTCATGGCGGAAATAGACGGGACCGTAATATCATCCTGTGTAGGATTAAGCATTAAGCCTTAGTTTCAAAGCAATTTCTTAACATAAATAAGAAACAAAATATATAAATATCTACATTTTATTCTAAATAGACCACTGGTTGGTACAATTGTCTTAACTATTTTTGCTCTGAAGCAATCAGTATCCAATTTGATGAGTAATATGTCCTTTACTATACTATAAATGAAACTTCAAGATAATTTAAGATGGGTGTGGACATGTGGGTGTCCATAGACACCTATGATAACAAATATCTCATAGATTTTATGAAAATTTCTAATTTTAAAACATCTAGTCATCATCGTCTTCAAGCTTCTGTTTTCCCTTCTTATATAATAAGTAGTGAAAGTGTTGTGGTGTTTTGAAATAGTTCTCAAGCAAAATACCATGCTTTTCTCCTAATGAAAATCTGCCATCGCCCCATGTCACGACAAATGTAGGATTTAACTTTTTAAACTCGTTTAAATGAAATTTATGTTTTTTTATCGAATTATATATGTGTCCTCTAAACACCGCTAGATAATCGTCTCCATCTTGGTAAAGTCGTATTACGTATTTTGAAAGCAATACTTTCACAGCAACATGGAATGCTATAAAGCTGCCAAGGTATACAATACATTCTATTGGATCGTTGGCTATAACCACATTATCTCCCAGTAGTACTGGATTATTCAAATCAGCTTGGTCGAAAACAAACATTCCATAATACAAGCCACTGAGTCCAATGGTACCAGTAGTAAATGTAAGATAAGTTGTAACAAAGTTTAGGACATTGTCCATTGGCGCTCTGTATATTAATTTCCATCGTTTAGAAACGTTATCCATTTCTCTCCATCGATCTTGAGCTTCTACAAATTTCATTGGGTGATTCGAAATACATCTTGCCGTGCTTTTAATTTTGATTATGTACCTTCCAGTCGACGTTATTGCACGTACACAATTCATATTTACAAACATTGTTTTCAGTCAGTTATTACATTTTATAGCTAGCACTTAATTTTCATGAATTTGGGGTACAAATTGGAAACTATGCTCTGAATTTTTTCACTTTAAAGTTTAAGCTTAGACGTAAGGGTAAGGTTATATTTCGCATAGACCTATTTATAGGTTTCATACTATGTTCATACTTCAGTGATATTTCGACATTCTACAAAACAGCTGATTAATGCCACTGTCACAATGGATTTTTTAATTTGTCGAATTAGAAAAGGCAATCAGGAATTAGCCCATAGGTACAGTGTTTTCTCTAGTCAAAAATTAATCCTTTCGAAATGGTTGCAAAAATGTATTTTTATTTGGTGTATGGCATTGAATAGCATAACCGCATTTCTTTTCGTATGCGCCGTCAAAAGATAATAGGAGATTCGTCTGAAACCGGACAAGTGTATAGAGAACTTTTTTTTTTCTTACCTAAGCTGATGGCCTTGAGAGACTATTTCAGTGTAACCAGGTGAGCTCGCGAGACTCAAACCTGCCAATGTTGCTAACACGAACCCTAGCAAGAGCCGTGCTTCGCAGAATCTACCACTGGATCGGAAACGCGACCTACTGAGAAGATCCGGCGAGAAACTCAGTGGGCTGTCTGTGGGTTAACTTACTCGCTGAGCCTTTCGTGGCAAGCGACGCCGCCACGGTTTCGACGAGAACGATGATGTAGAGTATTTACGTACTGTAATCGGCAGCTGACTTTTACTGATAGGGCGTGTTGTAAGCTATTATGGATAGGTACCACCACACTGCTTATTTCTGCCAAGAAGCAATCGTGCGTTCCCGTTTGAGCGCTAAGTTGGATGTTGTCTAATAAATGAGACTTCGAACTCAATTATAAAGGGTGGTGGTGTTTGATCTTTAAGTTATTAACATTCGTTTTTTGTTCTCTTGCTGTTTTCACTACTGTGCTCTCCACGTTTCATTTTAATCGTCCCGTTTATTATAATACTCCAAACATTGTAAAGTATTCGCAGTTGGTCTACTTAACCGCTATGAATAAACAATCTACTTTTGTTCCCACCATTCAATGAGATTTTTTGAAGTATTTTTTGAAGCAAAAACGACCTCCCTTTTTGAAATGAGGAATATCATAATGCACCGCGAGGCTTCAAGTAGAGACTGTCATCGACATCAATTTAGTGTTTTTGGGTAGGCAGGCAGATAACAATGATTCAATATCTTTTTTTTTTACACAAATGGACTGCAGCTATCTTGGAATAAAAATGAGATTTTCTCGTTGTTTAGACATGTATTAAAAATTTAACTTTAAGCGATACAATTTTCATAGAATATAGAATCAAAATAATTCAAATTTGTAATACTTGGTGATATAATTAACAGATACTTAACATAACATTTTTAGATTCTTTAGGAACTCCAATGACTACCAGCTATCACTGACAGTACAAAGCTAAAGTAATTAGAAGTAACACTAAATTTGTGAAATAGGCTTTGGACGAATTCCCAATTTTGAAAATTCGTCATACTCTTGCCAACGCCGTGATCAACGGTAGAGGTATTAAAGAATAATTAACAACACAATAGTACAATTTCAATAACAATTTTGTGAATTTCCTACTAAATAAATGAAATTTATTGCAAAACTATAATATATACTACAACTAATATATGTTCATCTTTTAATGTTATTATTTAACAATATTATTTTTGAATGCATGTGAAATACGTCAACCTTAACCATGAAATTAATAGCAAATATTATATATCTCGTCCTACATTGACTTTTAAAAATATGGTACACCAATTTTTATTGCATTACGAAAATGGGCTTATTAAACCTCTATGTTTTTTTAATAACTCAACTATATTACATAAACTTTTCATGGACTAACAGTGACGTTGTTCGATTCTGTATACTGGACCTTTTGGACCTTATTAGTTGGTTTAGGGTCTTCCTTAGACATTAAGTAATTCGACATCATGTCATAATCTAGGTTAGTAGAAATTTTATTTCTCTTAATTATGTTATTAGGCAGATTATTGCTGGCATTTTGTAGAACTTTAGAGAGACTAGCATCAATTGTTTCTTTATTCACTTTTTTAATATCGAACTTGTCACTGCGTACTTTATCATTTGTTTGAGTTTTCCTTAAACTTTCCGGAAGCGCGTCCGACCTGAGCTTCACCAGTGTTGTATTCAATACAGAACAATCTATTTGCATCAACATCACGTGGTCGTTCAATATGGAATCTAAAATGCAACATTGGTAATTTAGAACTATTTACACACCGTTTAGTACTGATGGGGTAGACGTTGCACTGTAAAACTGAGACTTAGAACTCATATTTCAAGGTGCATATACATTGTTGACATCTGTGTGTTCCGGCAATCACTTATCAACATGTACTGGCCATGAACTCGTCCACCCATCTAAGCTTAAAAAAAACACTACCAATATAGCCTGGATCCAAACCAGCCTATAGGTTAAGGTAGTTTAGTCTTAATTTTATTCTAAAATTGTTGTTTTTATTTTATTTTTGTTTTCTATGTGAAGTGTTGTTTTTAATGTAATATAATATCTAAAGTAAATGAAATAAATAAATAAAAATTAAATAGTGTTACGAATCGATAACAATTACGTTACCATTTCCATTTCGTGCAGGAAGTATGAGTGCCATTTTAGGAGGACGAGTGACATTATGCGAGACGGCAGGCAGCAGCAGGTGTTCGCCCTTCCCAACTCCGACCACATAAAAGGTGTCGTCGCGCCTGTCCAGGGCCTGCAGCAGAGTGTTCCATTCTCCGAAGTCCTCCATGTTAATATCGTTCATAGATTTTCTCATTGGTTTTGTGTACAGGTCGTAGTCGATCACAGAACTCTCGGGGAAATCAATGTCTTTATTATTCCGCCTAAGGCGTCGCAGTCGCGACTTATCACGGATGTTACGCACCTGATTTCTTGTGTTTTGAAAATCGATATTGTTCGCTTCCAAATTTAATTTGTTAAAGAGTTTGTATGTTTCTAAAATACCACCTGAAATTTTACGGTTGGAGAGTGATTTACATCTAACGTTTATGTGGTAGTTACACGTAATTAAATAATAATGTTTGAGTAAAGGTTGAATACCATTAATTTTTTCTTCACTAATATATGCGCTTCTTTTTCGTCGAAACTTGTTTTCGGTCCAATTCAAAGTCTTGCCTCCTCTAATCCAACGACTCAGGTCTCCGGCTATCCTAATACTCTCAGTTTGGTTTACATATATAGAATCGAGAGGATTTGTCATGTTTTGGCAATCGTAACTGCTATTTGTTATTTGATCACTTTCTGTTGAAAAATAAAAAAATAGAATACAAAGTAATTTAATTGTTATTTTAAGTAATATTACTGAAGTTCAATTAAGTACTATTGTTTTAATATGTCAAATTAGTGTGTCATAGTTGGGCGGCAAACAAGATCAGAGCGGGTTGTATTAATCGGTTACTAGAACCTATAGAAAACCAATGATGTCGTCGCACAGCTTGAAATTAAAATAAGGTTTATTCGGCTCTCAGAATCGGAACGTTTGAAGAGTGTAATACGAAGATATTAGAAGAGGGCAATACGAGGTAGGTCTCTGGATTCGACCTGCGTGGACCGTGACAGAAAGCGAAATATTCGGAAATTCCACTTATTTTAATGTGTGATTGTACATTAAGCAAGTAAATTCTTAGAATGTTTTCATACCAGCTAATTCCACACTGCTCTCATCAGCCCATAGTAAATGTCTCGTGCTTTGTCGTTCTGGGGACGGTTTCAGGAATGGCTTTGAGTTCCACCTTCGAAAAGATAACCATAATATCATATTAGTTGTACATAGAGGTGAGGTTTATTTAATCATTTAGTAAAAAAAAGTGCTATTTAGAATTTCTAGATAATTTTGCATATTTTCAAAACAACAGTTCGTGTCAAATAATATTGTAATAACACATTGGATTGACTTGTCATTTATTATATCATTATGATATTTAAAAATTCACAAAACAGTTTAAAAGATTTATCTTTAAGCAAAGTTTACATTGGAAGGTAAAAACCATCCATTCCGATGAAATTAGCGTGTGGAGTATATTTCTAGCGAGTGTATAAAACAAGCCGCAAAAAAAAAACATTTTTTTTCCATATTAGTTTATTAAAGTTATACTAGTTATTATTCAAATGAGTTTTGTAAATACGGAGTGTTCGTGATAACGAAACTTACGTACCCAAGGACATTCCAGTTCAGTGAAACCATAAAAACCATAGCAAAGATAACAGCTATGTTCTTTTTAGGTATTAATATCGACGGATCGAGGCGTGGTAACTAAAAAAGAAAACAAATTAAAATGTTATTTTCATTTAAAAAGATTCAAGTGTTAAGAAGATACTAGAATTTTTTCAAATTTTTAAAATCACCTTTTATGTTATAAAAAAATTATTTTTATTGCTGAACTCTCTTTAGCGGCGGCGCGCGCATGCTCTAACAGCCGCGCGGAGCCCTATTTTCAACGTCTAATTAAAATTATAAATAATGGAGATAGAGTTCCGGGAGTTAGGGCTTTTTTATTGGAAATTTCCTCCTCTTTAACGAGCTTTTTTCAAAATTGCTTCAATGTTAATATTTTTAAGTTATTAACAAAAAACGAAATATCATTTTTTTTTCATCTTATTTTGTTAATAACAATTGCAATTTTTAACCTGCACCAAAATCCTTCAAAAACATTTTTATAGAAGTGATTCCGAATCGAATGAGCCATCGCTCATATTTTTAGGATCTTTATCTCTATTTTTCACGTTTTTGAACTTGTTGACTAGACTAAGTAGGTACAGAACAGTTATAATATTATGATCCATGAACCGTTTGTTGAGAAAGTCATTTCGATTCAAAATTAAACCTTTATTTATATTTTGAGAAGTTCTTAGAAGATAATTAAATACCACCGCAAAAATATATTGTCAATTTTTTTTTTATTTTTTTTTTATTGCCTTTGTAGGCAGACGGGCATACGGCCCACCTGATGGTGAGTGGTTACCGTCGCCCATGGACTTCAGCAATGCCAGGGGCAGAGCCAAGCCGCTGCCTACCGCTTAATACTCTCCATAAGCCTCGTTTGAAGAAGGACATGTCATAGCGCTCGGGAAACACCGTGGAGGGGAGCTCATTNTCAGCAGAAGGTCCAACAAAGAAGGCTCGTGCCCCTCGATATCTGGGACACGGGTGGGCTGTGTCACCAGCTGGGAGAAGCCGTAGGCCAAGGCGAAATCGTAGGCAGTCCGACCCGGGAGGTCAGTGGTTCTGGATCCCAACCACTCTTGGTGGTGAGCGTTAAAGTCTCCAAGAACCACCACCTCCGCAGATGGGTACTCCTCAAGCACGCGGTTAGTCCCCTCTTGCACATGCTCAAACAGAGCTGAACCTATATTGTCAAAGTGCAATATAAAATAGTCCTTAAACTCATAGGGACACGTACTTATTTTCATTGCTCAGTATATAAACATGTAGATTATCTCACTTACTCTTAGCGCATGCACTATTGATATGAATGTGATAAACAGATACCTGCGAGACACGTACGGCGTATGCCAGTAATATTTTTTTAATTTAGATTTTAATAAAACGAACATATTTTATTCATAGCACAGTTTTCCTTTAATATTCAATTGAAACCATTGTGTCAATTTATTTCATTTAACGCGTTTTGTGGAGTTATACGAGCGTGTTTTCCTACAGCGTATATTATATTACGTAACGTACATTACTACTGTAACGCAGTACTAATCCACTCCACGATGACCTGGAGTTCGACTCTGTCAGTAAGTATCTACAGTCGGCATCATTGCGCCATTTCGAGAAGGCGGCACGACATGAGAACCCTCTTGTCGTGGCCGCTGGAAACTACATACCCGATCCTGTAGACCGAATGGTAAACAGTCGACGTCGCCCAAAGCACGTCATTACGGATCCTCCCGATCCATTAACGGTGCTTTTAGGCACCGTTAATGGATCGGTCACCGTCCTCGTCGAACCCGTCGCGTCGCTTGCGACGAAGGGCTCGACGAGCGAATTAACCCATAGACACAGCCCACTGAGTTTCTCGCCGGATCTTCTCAGTGGGTCGCGTTTCCGATCCGGTGGTAGATTCTGCGAAGCACTACTCTTGCTAGGGTCAGTGTAGCAACACTCTGGTTTGAGCCCCGTGAGCTCACCTACACACGTTAGGGTGAAGCTTATTTCAGCTTCACCCTCACCTCTCAAGGCTATCAGCATAAGTAGGAGGAAAAAAAAACTAATCCACCGTGTTAAATATATAGAGAGATTTATTGTGTTTTGTATTACCTTCCGACTTCTTACGTTGCTGTCGAGTTGATCCCTCAACAACTTATTTTCGAGTCGTAGACTTGCTATCTCCTGATGTGCTTCCAGTAATTGTTGTTCCAGCGCAGTCACATATTCTTTCTTCTTTTGTCGTGACTGACAAGCTGATTCGCTAAAATTAAGTAATTAAGATTTATTTAATTAGAATTTCACTAATACACAGAAATCACAGAAATCCGTTAGACTATAATTTTTGGATCAATGTGATCAAACAGATTTAATTGGTAGCTTCTATAATTTTATATAGATTAGAATCAATTAATATCTAGAAAAAGACAATAACAGTATTTGAATCACATTAAAGCGCGCCAAAAAGAATTGAATAAATAAAAATCTTTTGACAAACAGAGGAAAGATAATAGTATCTTAATTAGGTACCATAATCTATTTTTTTGGATTTTTTAAAGAAACAATAACCTTTTTTTTAATATTATTAGTCTCGCTAATCGTCTAACTAGGAGATGTATGGAAATGGTAGTGCAAGGCAGAGGGGGATGAGGTCGACCAAAGAAGACATGGATGAAGTGTGTGAATGACGATGTGAGAGAGAGAGAGGAGTGAGTGTTAAGATAACGGGTGATAGAAGAGAATGGAATGAAAAATTCGCTGTGCCGACACCACCTATATAGTGGGAATAGAATAGTCTAAACTACGATTAGTACGACGAAAAATAGATAAAAGGATAGCGGAGAAAGAGGAAGAAAGTGGGGGAGAGAGAGGGTAGAGAAGCAGAAAAACTTCATTTTTGTTTCTTTATATATTAGGTATTGGAAAACCAATGCATCCAGGTATACATATATTATTATATAAAGACTAGCTTCAAAGATTACATATGGAATAAAAACAAAACGTTATTAATGATATATTCATTACGCCTAAATTATATTAATTTCACATTAATGTAAAACTTGTATTTTATACATATATAGTTACCGATTTTTTATCATCCGTTGTTGTTTTTTCAATGCCCTTATTTCATTTGCAGTTAAACTAGAGAGATCAATACCGTCGAAACTGGGATTCGTTGGTTCTGTCGTACATATCGTCCCGTTTTGTACTTTTGTTTCGTATCCATTATCACTTAAGGGAAGATCTGTATTTATCACGATCGAAGTATTACTTCTTGGAGACACTGCCTTTGAAAATTAAAAAAAAAGACATTGATGAATGAAATCGTTTAAGTTCACAATTCCATTTTCAAATTATAATAATTTTACGTTTTATTTTTTCGAACAGGATTTTATCAAATTACATATATCCTTTGATCATACATGCTACATAATTTGAACCCAACACAATCAATTTGCAAAGTTTTTCGTATATCCATATTAAGTAATAGAAAGAAGTTTTCAATTTATTGACGATTATATTCACTTTCTTAATTTGCATCCCAATTTTCTTAATGCATAATATTTTTTCATATGATGATTCCATATTATAATGGTTGAAATTTAAATTATTTTATGTGACTATCCCTAATGTATTTTTAGTATAATACATACTGCTTTTTTTATCTTACCTTAATGGAATGTCCATTCTTATCGTTAAGCTTAGTCTGTGGTATTGGTATTAAGGCAATTTTAGCATTTTTCTCTGATGGCACTAAATGTGATGGAATGACACTCAAAGATCTCTCATGTTTGGAATTTTTTTGTTGAACAACTAACTTAATTTGATCATTTAATTTGATTTGGTTTTCGTCTTTAACAAAAATACATGATGATGTATTTTCGTTTACAACTTTAAAATATGCATTTTGAACATAACCATTTCCTGAAATTATAATAAAATAAGTAAACAAACAAATAACAAATTTAAAAAATCTTTTTTTTCGGTTCATCAATAATTTCGATACATACCTTTGTGTGTCATAGGGCACGTTACTTTTGTATCGCTGCTTTCAATCTCAGTCTTGATACCCTAGTAAAAATAGAATTTTGTATTACTCAACCGTCGTTATCAGACGTCACTAAATTAACTAGAGATACTTCTACTTTCCATAGACTTAATAACAAGCGTGAAACTAATATTGGTTTGTAAACTCACGACACGCATTTAGCTTACCAGCTTTTGATGCGTTTTTTTTTTTGTGGTTTTACAAGTGGTGAATATTCAAAGATATTTCCACTCTCCATAGGTTTAAATAACAAGCGTGAAACCAATATTAGTAGTATGGGCCGATAAACTCACGACACGCATTGTGCTTGGCTTACTAGCACCTAAGCCGTTTTTTTTTTCTTTTTTTTACTGTTACAAGTGGTGAAAATTCAATTGATTGTATTAACCGGGAATTCTTTAAGATACAAAATGGAAAATAAATATGCTTTGCGGCACAGATAAGCATGCTGACTTGAATAGTTTTGGAGACATAAAGCGAACCATAAAAATACGCAAAACGAAAACCAGTAATTTTTGTAATAAAACAACATTTTTAAATGTTAAACAGTATTTTAATGATTCCAAAAGCGATCGAACTTAATTATCGTGAATAAAGACGGCATATGCCAGTCGTCTAAAACTACTTGATATGTTTTTTTTTCTTTTTTATGAAGGAAGGATTACTGGTGGCCCGGAGGCCTTTCCAGCTTCACCAGGGCATGTGGACGAGCAAAGACTCAGCCAACAGGGACTTAATATGTATTATCTTCCGTTTGTATTAGTAGTCAATTAATTGCGTTTTTATACTCTGTTTAATATCAGCTAAATAAAATGCACTGGAACACGTAAAATGACGTCAAAGCTCGTGTGATCCGTCTACACTGTGTATTAATAATCGCTATGTAGAAAAGGCAGAACATCTCTCAAACACTCCGAAAACTATAGCGCCTTTATCATAGAACTATATTAGTCTTCTTTATGTTTGGGCTTTAATTTACGCCTGACTTTCAATAAATTTCTTTAATAGACCCGATTCTCTTGAATTGAAATTCAAGTTATATTGCATTTTTTCCTTAAGAAAAATCAACTCTATCTGTGGAATCACTCGATACACACAGTGCCTTGTTTTGTTAGCCAAGAATTTTACTTAAGAATATTGTTTAAACTTACCTTGATAACACCGTTTTCAATCGACATGACAGGCCTTTTTTCTTTGTGAACTGCATCTTGTATGTAGCCTTTTGGCTGTACATTTGATGGACCTAATAAATAAATTTTAATTACATTAGAATTTACATATTAAGTAAAAATGTGGAGAAAAATACAATATTATAAAAATATAGTTTTTAATGGATCTATTCGAATTTTCGTACCAACTGTAGTGATTGATAATTATAAATAATTACCCACACCCTATTTCGATTTCATTTCTCATTGATCATTTTTACAATATAATACACTTATAGAATGACAATAACTTGAATATTAAACTCTAAAAGTAGTTTAAATTATTCAGGCTTAATTGAGAAGTCCTTTACAATGCCCTGAGAATCTAGATAATTTTACATTATACTAGTCTTAATGCTTGTAAAAAGTACATGAAGCTTTTTTTTTATTACTTAGGTGGGTGGACGAGCTCACAGCCCACCTGGTGTTAAGTGGTCGCTGGAGCCCATAGACATCTACGACGTAAATGCGCCACCCACCTTGAGATATCAGTTCTAAGGTCTCAAGTATAGTTACAACGGCTGCCCCGCTCTTCAAACCAAACCGCTTTACTGCTTCACGGCAGAAATAGGCAGGGTGGTGGTACCTACTCGCGCGGCCTCACAAGAGGTCCTACCACCAGTAAAGCTATAATCAATATATCCTAGACTTTGTTTTAAAAGTTCAGCAGTAAGAGATGTGCAGTAAAAGCAGTAAGAGATGCGGGAACAGCTAAGGGCGCCAGGAATGTTTGTGATCTACATTTGTACCTGTTTTATGTAAAAATAGTTCCACGTCTTCAAGTTTCAGGTTGCTTGTAGGCTCCTGATCCAAATTTAACATCCAGTCACAGGGTGAATTCGATGATTGTCTTGTTGATGTATTCGAACCACTGTTTTAGTTTGAAAAAAAAAAAACATATTTCTTACATCTCAGAAAAGAATACTAACATAGCTTAATAGCTTAATTTACACACACAACACAAGGTAACCAAGCCAAACAAAACCTCCACATTCCTTTTAAGATTGAGTGTGGGGATTAATTATTTTTTAATTTGTTTTCATTTTTTGTTTATTATCAGAGGCCAAGAGCTACTTTGGGGTCACAGCTCCAGCACAGTAGTAGTAGCCTTTTTTAGTTTATGATTTGAAAATAACAAAATTACAAATTTTAAATGATTTGTATTTTACACTAATCTAAACTAAAAATTAAATAAATAAATAACTGGGGACAAATCACACACAGTCATACTGACACGCAGACCTGTTACATCATAGAAATGTTTGCCTAATGTGGGAATTTAGCACACGGCCCTCAACACAAGTCAGGGCTGCTAGCTACTGCACTACCAAGCCAGTGAAATTAACTGCATATTTCGAAAACGTCATGTGACATTAATATGTCTTCATAATCAATGACAGCCATCATGCTTTAATGCCTATGGCACCATAAATACTATAATATCAAGTGGATTATGAGCAGCTTATCTTTTGCAATAAATATTTGTTATTATCTAATTACTTTTTAGAGTCATCGTCACTGCCAGAATCGCAATTACCGCTGCTCTGAGATGAATTTAAACTCAACACAGGTGATATAGGTGGTACAAGAACTGGAGCTGCATCTGCTAGAATTTCACTGGGCGATGCATCTGCTCCATCCAGTAATGAAGGCCAGTAGTCCTTTGATAGGAGCTCATCTAGAAAATCTTCACCTTCAACAAAAATAAACGAGAAATTAAATTCAATAACCAAATGGAGAATTTTAAATAAGCAATTAAACCCTACAATTACCATTGAAAGTATAGCTTAATCTAATACTTGTTTTTTAATAAAACAGTTTCTGTAATGTAAGTTTTTAACATACTACGTTATTTCTCTATTCATCATATATATACATAGACATATAGAGGAACACTGGATTTAAAAATATATTTATCTCCTTGTCTTTGTATGTAATGTTTCCAGGGTAAGAGAAGTTGATGTTTAAGCCCCAAACACCCCCTTATGTATAAATACTACCGCTTCTCTTAAAAGATGAGGGAGAAGCAGCAAATTGCCAGTATTGCATTCCCTCATATTATGATGATACCCAAAGTATAATATAATATCAATGCATAAAACATATTAAATATATACATCACAAAATGTCAAATTCAGGTTATTTTTAGGAGTTACATATAAAATGATTTTGCAATTTGCGAAAGGCTCATGATCTCTGAACAAAGCCGTGGGATTGGTAAGATTGAAACAATTACAATTATATTGTGGTAACATTTCACACCAGAGTAAAGTATAAATAATAACTCGTAGATAAACATCAACACAAACCATGCCGCGTAGTTTAGATAAAATTTTAAACTATGTAATAAAGATAAAAGTTATGAACGCGATTCGGTCATTAAATTACCTAGTTTTTAATAAAACAGAAAGTTTATTCAAGGACATGCATAAAACACAATAAAGGTAATAAATAAAATGCAAGAACCAAATAGTAATTGATTTAAAATTTACGTTACCATAAAAACCAGTTTTGTTATCAATTAGAATATCCTCATCCATCGGAACTATTTAACTGAAGCCATAGATTTATTTTACTAGGCAATCGAAATAATAACTACACATGTAGATAAAACGGTTCTATAATATCCGGCAACTTTATTATTAAATTAGAATTTATGAACAGTAACACGCATTGGTCATTGTCAATTTCTGTTTTGGTCTGTCTAATTTATATTCTATGTTCTATTCATCTTTGTCACTCAGGATTATTTTTTAAATTCATCTGATTGCTTGGAATTTAAGTCTTTTAAGCCAAAAGACCCACTCATCGTCTTGAGCCTGATAGCTTAAATAATACACATAAATAATTAGCCTGATAATTATGAAATAATTAAAATAATAATAATCGATCGATCGAAAACATAGATTTTCATGAACCATGCTTCAAACTATTTCGGTACATTGCTTACGAATTTCCGATATGAAAGTCACCATCTTGACACTTACTAGAAGAAGAAGAATCATTAAGTAAAACAATACACTGTCAAAATAATACAAACCACAGCTTCTTTGTGGGAAAACAAAACAAAGCCACTGGACGTACCTACCTAACTCTTTAGGATCCTCCAAAAAACCCACTGAAAAGGTCTCAGTAAATGACCATCATTTTACTGAGATTATATTTCATTTCATTTCTAATCATACATATAAAAGAAATATATATAAAAGATTAGGTTCTATGGTATAACACCTTTGCTTTTCCAGTTGGAAAAATAAAACTACTACTACTCATGGAGTTATTATATAAGTACCTACACTAGTAAAGTCTATGCTACTACTACAAACCACAGAACGTCCCGCCTTTCAAAAAGTTTTCGTGCGTATGCACGCACGAAAACTTTTTGAAAGCATCGGAATGCATCGGGGGGATGTGGAGTAGGTCGAGGAGTTCATCCGGATTCTAGCTCGTAATCTTTAGGAGCGGGCTGACCCCACGAATATCTCCACAATATAGCTCCCTTGCACGCCAGACCACCTGGTGGTTGGGCACTACCAAGGGAGCTACTGGAATCCCCTACTATAGTAAGATAGTCGGCTTAATCGGAGTGATATGGGAGTGCTCATAATGAGTGCCCCCATGGGACTGAGCTGTCCTCACTCGTCACTTCCCCCCACACTATTGGGGTACCCCCTCCTATGGGGACCCATTTCATCACCACCCCCGAGGGTGGACCACTCCCCCGTCTGAGGAGTGCTTATATGTCGGTCCCTCCCCGCCTTGGTCTTCCCCTTCTGGGGAGCCCGGAGCGGGTGAGCGCCTAAACTAGTGCCGCGGCTCCCCCTCTATTTTGTAGAGGTGGGGCTGCGGCATGGGGCCAGTGGTGGGCCCCTCGTCTGCTGACGTGTCCTGGCTTATTGTAAATAGTAGTTGTAGTTAGATTAGTTAGATTTAGTCAGTTAGTAAGGGAAGAAAAAAAAAACCGAAGCGGAGGACAGCAGTCGGCGCCGGAGTGCCACCTCCGCGGGCATCTATCCGTCGCCTAAAATCAAGCCCATCGTATTATATATAAGTATATATAGATGTGCAATGCAGCCGGACAAACTGCGAACAGTAGTACCCATAGATTATACACTTAATATATTTGTAGTACCCTTTTCAGTTCCTCCCTGCACTTATTTCACCCATGGCCTGAGTGGCAGGGAGCTTCTGCCCGGGCAGTGGGGTTCACCTCGAGGCCCGTTCCGTGCCACCGTAAGGGAGCACGACGACCCTTTTTGATATGCATCGGTTGTTCTAAGAAAGAAAACTATTTTAATTCAAAATCATATTATTCAATTTGGATGCTATTAGCCATTCTAATTTTATTGATATTGATGATTCTGATGCACACACTTTACGCTGAACAAAAAAGAAAAATCCATTTGACATGTTGGTTGTTGACAGCTGACACTTGAAAATTTCAATCTACCCGATGATTGATTGCTCGGTTGTTATTTGATAATTCCCGTGCTGTCTAAGTCGAGTTGTGAAAAGGGTTTTGTAATGAGAACGCTAGTAATTTTTTTACATTTCAGTTAGCAATTACTCAGTACAAAATTCGACACTCAAAATGTATTCATAATTCTTTGTGAGTTGTGCTTGTTGTGAAAATGTCAAGCCATGACGAGCACGAACAGTTCATTTTTCGTCCACAACAACATTTGGATGCTAAATGGCTCAATCCTGACTTACAGGAGGCCTTACACAATCCAGATTCCCTTTCTGCTTTATTTAATATTCTTTTACAAGACAGAGAAATATATTTCAATGCCGGAAGCGGCCTCGTAAACGGTGCTGGTATTACTGCTAAACTTGGGGATAGTGGAAAATACTACTGCGGCCTAAGGGTAAATAATATGCTCTCTGAAGATATTGCACTAATTATGAAGTATAAATGTCTAGGCTACATAACCGTTTAGAACGAAAATCTCGGAGTTGGGATTTCAATACCACGGGAGCTTCCACCCCACACTGAATACCATTTACGCTAGAATATAATGGACTGTTTGAACCATAATAAAAAAAGACATAACTTTAAATGTTGCACATGAAAATGAAAGATGGGCAGTAATACAAGTGCTTGGCAGGGTCCCCATGACAGTAATTGATATGAAAAGGGAACTAATGCACTATTTTCCTGGACTGTAAAGCAACATATTTATCTAAATAATAATACTTTCTTATAATTTATTATTTGTATACTAAGTAATTACCATTAATGGTATTTGACCATCACCCCAAAAAATTGTAACTAGCTTTAATTTAACCTTTAAAATGAGGAAACCTGTCACGACTATGTATATTGGTGCTAGGTAAAATTCTTTGAACTCCTGGCCTAATAGTGGGTAGCAGCACAGAGAAGTACACTTTTTTAGAGAAATTACTATAATGAAGGAAGGAGGCACCCCTTAGTTTTTTTTTTGGTTAGTTTACCTTAACGACTTAGTTTTAAATTGAATTAAATGTTTAGTAAATCTAATTTATTCAAACCAAATTGTGCCAAAATTTGAAGATCAAAGCCAAGAACTAAGTAATGTATATAATGACATGTGTGTATTCTTTTTCTAAGTTATGTATAATATAAAACATTTTTTAAAAGTGCTCTATATCTAGATCTTTTTGAGATAATTCTATATTTTTTTTAGATATTAACCTGTACTTGTTGTGATGGTCTTTGTGGTCCCCACTCTGGATGTGCTTGTGTTCCATGCACTGCACTATCTGTTGAAGAAGAGCATAGAATATCTATCCTGACAAAATATGTGAATCCGCCAACATCACTTCAAATAATAGATGATCTCAAATGGAAACAAGATCCAGGTTAGTGTATTATATAGATTGTTAAATGAATGACTGTGAAACCATTGAAATGCAAAATACGACAAATCAAAAATTTTAAAATCTCTTTTCATTCTATGAAAAGGTATTTAGCTGCATATGTCACGACAGATTTTTATTGATTTACCAAAGTTTCCTTTAGCAAGATGAAATGATTTCTTATGCATGATTTGATACTCTTATTGTTTAGTTTTGTTTTTACCTTATCGTTTTTATATGTTTGTTATTTGTCTTAAAATGGAATCAAGTAATATCAATAGGTCTAATTTAAATTGGTCATATAAGTATTAGTAAAAATAGGTAACTTAGATTTTAAATATGGAAATATAATAAATAGAGTCAGCAACAGACCAAATTAAAATTCAATAACTACAATTACAATAAAAAGGTTTTGTGTAATACAAATACTACATGATGAACTAGCTGAAAATTTTCTTAATTAGCATTGTATAATATTAATTGTCTTTATATAATTTAATTCTTACAAATACAAATCTATTTTAAAATGCAACTAAGTGCATGTTCAATCTATTTGTCATTTTTTTAGAGACTAAAATGACATATAAACAAAACTTATTCTGGTAATCCTTTTTCTTACTAGATTACTTTTCTCAATTGCTAATTAACATCATTGAATTTGAATTTTGTTTTCTTCGAATTTAAAAACTCTTTATTTCAATTTAAATATTGATTTGCAGGACCAGAATGTCTTCTAAGTTTAATGGAGTCATTGATTTTTGAGCAAAGATTTAGAGCCATCAACACTGCTGTCAGCTGTCCATTAGTTTCAGAAATCCGTCATCTCATCGTCTTGTGCAACAGACATCTTGTGGCAGTTATAAGGTATAGTTTGATCGAACAAACGGTCACTTAAAAATTACGAACCCTAAGAAATGTTTCATAATGTTAATAGTTTTTAAAGTTTCATGTAATTCTTAAATTTTCTTCAGGGATCAAAGTCACAGAAAAGAAGTTAAAAAAGCGAAATTAGAGAAGAAACCTCCACATGGTGTAAGCAATAGAGCACTAAGCAATGTTGTAAATGCACTTAACAACCCCATAGATGCAAGCGCAGAAAGTCAAGAAGAAATTGAGGAGCCCACTGATGATTCAGAAAGGTGATGAACATATATCTCCAACAATGAATGAAACCTAACCAATGCTTGAATTTAAGTAAAATATAAACTTATTGGTTACAGTACTCTCGGCTTGGCACGGGTTGGTGCTCGTGCAGCGTTACGCTTAGCTTTGTCGCTGGTACGTCGTGCGTGGCGCTGTGGAGAAGATGCAGATGTTTGCTCAGCTTTGCTGAAAGATGCGTTGGATGCAGTGCGGGCTTTACCTGATGCTGCGCTATATGCCGGTACAGGGACCCCACAGCAAGCGCCAAGATCGCAGAAAATATGGGCGGAAGTTGTAGATAGCGCTGCTCAGTTCCTACATCAGGTTGTGACAGGGTATGTCATGTAAATTTCCATTCTTCTTCTTCTTCTTCCAGTGCCTCTTCAATCCTGAAGGTTGGCCGTTAGCTTTCTATATTCGTTTTTATCTGCAGCCAGCCGGAACAGCTGTTCGACGGAGGCAATACCGGTCCACTCCCGGATATTCCGGAGCCATGATTTCTTTCTTCGCCCAGCACGTCTCTTTCCGTCCACTTTGCCCATAATTATCAGCTGGAGCAGCATGTATCGATCTATCAATATCTATCAATAAATTTATCAATAAATAAATATATATCAATAAATTTATATTATATGTATCAATAAATTTCCATTAACTTAAGAAAATAAGCATAGATAAATACATAGATAGATACATAGAAGATAGATAAGCAAT